TTCTCTCTTCGAATTAAGGGTGACTATTGTAAACATGAAAATGTCCTATAGATTGCTTCCATCACTTTCCCAACAAACCTAGCTTTGTGCCGTCACACAGCTACATGTACTTATCAGTTTCTTATTGAACAGTGACATGGTTCTAACTATCTATTTTCAAAATAGCACGTTCTGAAGTAAAACTGTGCACATCATGTTACACGGTTAAAACTCAAACCACACGGTTTATTTGTCATCGCGTTAAATGGAAAAGCTTGCATTGAAACATCAACTATGCAAGTCGGGACAGGGCTGAATAATTCTATACAAATGGTTCACAATAGAACGCAGCGCGGGTGATTCGAAATCCGGCTGCCTTCAGCGTTGCAGTCAATGCAGGGTGATGTGACTACCTCGTTGTTGCGCGCTAAACTTAAACTACACCGCTAGCTGACACAGTTCGATTCATTCAGCTTTCAGAAAGTACCGGTAGGCTGGGGACCCTTTCAGGCTCCCTCCACTTTTCCCTCCACCAAAACCAGACTCTAACTAGTGACACTATACTACTTACCTTTACTTCTTTAAAAAATATAATACCTCTCAGAAAATGGGCTGATGGGATACAATCGAGCATGCTCTTTCTACCAAGATTTCAAAGAACGTCATACGACTCTTTCTCAGAAGCTGTTTGATCGGGGCAACATGATTCAAGGCCTCAGCAAAGCTTTCAAAATGTTTTAAGTAGACATATAGCTGGCTCTGCTTTTATTAGAGATTTCTTTTGATTATTGAAAATAAAATTCACTTGTGTATTTACTTGCTGCAAAAGATTTAATCTTAGTTCAGTAGAAATATATCAGCATCTCATTATAAATGCACCATTCTTGTTTTGTTTTGTTTTGTACACATTCTTACATCAAAATAAAAGTCACTGAGGGTACAAAGACTATCTGCTAATCATGAATTATTTGTTGTCATGAAATAAAAACAGGCAGTCTTTAAATGAGTTCAATCTAGACAGATATTTAGTATTTTACAATACAGCAGAACTTATTCACATATTGATTTCAGTCTTTAACGGCTATGCTAATCCATGATATAGGGTATTAAGAAGGAAAGTTAATATCATAAGGGGCGTTGTTGAAAAAGCGCCTCAAAATATGATACATACAAGGGACAAACATATTTTCGGTAAGTAGAATCATTATTTACATGGCACAGTTGTGTATGTACAGTAGATGGTAAAGTCTGACTTACTTGATTTAAATGTTATCTGGACCAACAGTGGTAAAATGTTATGCCACACACGTACAATAATTCGAAACAATGCTCTTAATTATGTCTGATATTTACCATGACGATCAGTGACGTACTTTTTAGCCTCGAATATCTGACGCAACGTGTATGCCATTGGGTGTAAAAAGCAAACTAGAGATGAAGGAATATATGAATGGATTACTAGAACTCAGCGATGGCAACAAGTGGTCCCGGAAAGGGTATGCATGTACTGTATTATCGGTAGCGCCCGCTCATGGTGAGTCTCGTCAGGGTCAAGAAAGTTTTGTTTTAGCAACTAAATAATGATCGTAAATGTAATACATGTAGTGTTATTTGAACTTGTGCCGCGTTAGAGTTGACACGCGATTGTCAATCTCTAGACTCTTCAGTTCAAAGTCTCCCCCTACATAATCTTGTCGTTATCGTTTATCGTGCAAGCGTGACATTTCGAAAGCGAGGTCTGCATGTTTGCCATGTTGTTCCTGAATCTTGTCAATCATATAAGGGTAAAAAAGGGACCGGAATGATATGAATGATTTCATTGGATTTTCAAAAAGGACAAGATCAGGTTTGATGGCCTGGACAGGTCTGGAGGCCTATTCCAAAGAATTTTGCATTTATCATTTGCTATGACGCCTTCTATTTATTCTGGGTCGTGCCATGGATGGACCTCTGAGTCAAAACCAAAAGCATGATGAAGAAAATGTAATAAAATAATTCAGAGGTTTTCTTCCACCATTTCGCAAGGGGCGGTGATGGCGACATAAAGGTTAGATACTGAACGTCAACGAGAACAATCGATTATCTGCCGAAACAGATTCCGTTTGGCGCAACAGGCAAAAGAGTGGAAAACAGAAACGTTTCATTTTAAACAGGAGCAGAAGCAATAGGGGCACAAAAACATGTAAGAACAAAACACTGAAACATTTTATAGAGAAGGCAGAAGTTCGTCATACTTGAATTTGATTGGTCACAATATAACATCAGCAAGTGGTACTACTATATAAATGATTGTACTTGGTGTTGGAACCATTAATAAATGAAGGTACATGTGTAACGAGCAAATCGTCTGTTATCACAGACCTTATCTTTGGGTCACGTTCCACAGGCCAGAAGGAACAAGGTTGTGGGGGGAGGGGTTGGGGGATAAGGCAACATCTGGGCGAATTGTTTTCAATTTCCCCAAAACTACCTTTCCTTACAATAAAGAGGAACATTCACAACATATGCTCTGTATAAATATAATGCTTTCATCACATCAGATTTATTATCATTGTCGAGTCATTGATATCAGTATAAATATAAACATGAATTGGGTATTTTACTTTTATATGTGTATCACATCGCTCATCTACTACTTTTAAGGTGTACAAGGTAACGCTTCATTGAAACAGTGTCAACCAGTGTGCCATATCAATAAAACCAAACACACTAAACAGACAAAAAGCAGGACGACGTGAATTGAGTTCTTTTCTTAGAACTGCCCCTGATTTCATCTCAAAACATGAACATTTATTGAACTGGACCATCCCAATGTACCATTACGAGGGGGAGAAGTTGTGTTGGTAATAAACATTATTCTACTTCTTTAAAAAAATATAATACCCAGCAGAAAATGGGCTGATGTTTATCTGCTAGATGTTTGGGCTTGTTGGTAACCAACTGGTAGCACCTTCCTCATTGATAATCTAAAAAAATGTTTGTCAGATGAAACTATGTGGTTTTCATTCAACTGTTTGGCGGTCTTTGTTGGTTCTCAGAACGTGCTATGTTATGAGCGGCGGAATTTATCGATGTCAACTTCTTAATTATTATCAACACAACGTTTCAGAGAATATGCGTACTCCTTCATCGGGTGAATTCATCTGATGAAGGAATAAGCATATACTCTGAAACGCAGCCATTGAAATACGTGCTTTGTTATGTTATTCAATACGAAATAACTGCTTCTGGTACACGTGTACGTGTCTTTAATGTACTATGGGGGATAAGTTATGTTTGGAGTAAAGATTTCTTTTCTTCTTTAAAAAAATATAATACCTCGCAGAAAATGGGCGGATGTTTATCTGCTAGTCTGGACTTGTTGGGGACCACCTGGTAGCACATTCTTTACTACAGTGTGTGCATTCAGTGATACTGTGTGCATTGTCCATTGTCGCCATGTGTAGAGATCTTGAGAATCTGAATGAATGCTTGTCCGATGTCAATTTGCATTTTTGTTAGTAAAATTACAAAATAACCCATTCGAATACAGCTCGTATATTTACTATTACACCATGTCAGGACCTGTCCTGACACAATTTGTCTATCAAGACGAGAATGTAAGGTATAAAGATATCAGCTACAGTCTGGGTTGGTGATCATACGCCAGGTCTGCGCACTTGCTGAAACAAGAAGTACTACCATGGCTTAAAAAAAACGAACAGAAAACACCAGGTAAAGGTCAATTGCCATAATAATACATGTGTTACATAAGAGTGGTGTTTATACCATTGGTGTTTGAGATACACTGACATCTCATAACACCACAACTAACATACTAACTGTGTAATGTCATATTTATTTTTACATACGAACAATCAATTTCCCTATACTATATAAGTTCACACTTCTGTATTGAAGGTAAGTTATAACTGTTCATTCGTGAGGGCGAAAGTACAGTTATGGATGGTGTTCGCGAAAAGATAAGTGTATCCTGTTCCACCACCGGTGGCACCCGTCACAAACACTTTGTAAAGGCAAGTCAGTTGTTCACAATGCATTATGTATTAACTTAGTCACATAAATCATATTGGGAGACAAGACCTAACTTGCTACCAATAGGTGATGTCATGCCCCACTTGTTATTAACTGGTGTTGCTTCAAATCTAAACTGGACTAGAAACATCTGCTTGAGAAAATACAGTTTCCATTGCATAGTTTACCAAGGAGCAACATAGTTTGACCAATGTATCCAAGTAATGATACTGCACCAATTGTATCTCTCACTATCTTCATCAGGCACACGTATGCGCTCTATATATCTCATGGGACAGTTATTAGGTCACACAGAGTACAGATACACGTTGTGCAGCTGGCTGATAAAACTAAATTAAACTTACCACTAATTATGTATAATAAATATATGTTAAAGTGGGAGTGAAATTAGTACGCAATAGAGTGGTAGTACCATATTCAATGGCAGTACACAATAAAGTGGTGGTACCATATTCAATGGCAGTACACAATAGAGTGGTGGTACCATATTTAATGGCAGTACACAATAGAGTGGTAGTACCATATTCAATGGCAGTACACAATAGAGTGGTAGTAGCATATTCAATGTCAGTACACAATAGAGTGGTAGTACCATATTCAATGACGGTACACAATAGAGTGGTTAAACCATATTCACAGGAAGTCATAAAATTATTATATAATTGTTTTCTATGCATTATCAAAGACGATGGATTTAGCTGGTGATTACTGTTATTACGGCTCAATTTGAGCTGTCGTATTGTGGTATGTACCCCCTTATTGATGCTGTATTTAAACTGTTTGTATAAATGTTGCTGTTATACAGCAGGCGTAATTATAATTTAGCTGGTAGGACAAACCTGCAAAGTATTATGTAAGAGCAATTGGATTATTGATGACACGTTATTCATGTGAATTTAGTAGTGGTTGAACATCAGTGAATAAAACACTGTACAAACTAATTTTGAACTCATTGGTTTCAGGAATGATGAACCTCGACCACCAAAGAAACCCACCAGTTTATGCAAAAGACAGTGCATAGTAGGTATGTATCACTAGAACCTATTAAGCTTAACAGCATGGTAGAATATCATGTTGTGGATTGTGTGACAACACACTTGCTGTTACTCTACGTGTGTGGTGAGACGTCAAATTGTACCGCATCCATTCAAAAGGTATTTCGTTTCGAGCAGGACATGTTCGCCTCCGAACTCTGGTGTCATCACTTTAAGTTATACATGTGTCTTTTGCGCCTGATGGAGTTTCAGCAGATGTTCGAGGCTGATTATTCCCTGGCGTTCACGTTTTCAATTTAAAGCAAAATATACACAATAGCTGGCACAATTAGAGATAAACTATTGCTGTACATCATTATTAGCTTCTCGTAGGTTGTAGGTGTACAGTGGTAGGAAGACGTACATGTGAAAATGGACATTCGAGACAATGTTGATATTTATTCTCAATGTATTATACAATGCTGAAAGGACAAAGAAAGTCTGATCTTAGGTATTTTATAGTTTTGTTCATGATCGACAAACCTTAGGAAAAACTTCATTCCTTAATCCATGGGGCTTTTGTTACAAAACGTAGTGACCATAGATATCGTCACATATCTAACTTCAGAAGCTAAGGTAAATTTATCCAAAATGAAAGCAAATGCCATCTGAAGTTTACTGAGAAAACATTATGTGAAATGCTGGACTTCCTTATTGATAACAGCTTTATACAATATGGGGGTAGACGTTTCGGCAAGAAGGGGTGATTCATAAACGTATCCTCATGATATAGTCGGAACCATACAATGGAATATGGAAATAGTTTTGTCACTTTTATTTTTTGCCATAAAACTTTTGAAACCTTCACTGAGACTTTACAACACCAAACTCCTTGTTTGAGATGTCAGTCACTTAAAAATCAGCAATATCTACTTTTCAAATAATCAACAAAGAAAACATTTAGCAGATATAAATAACAACAAAGACAATCGGAATTGAACAAAACAAGAACATATATAATGAGATGCTGATATATTTCTACAGAACTGAGATGAAATATTTTCTTGCCAATGTCTGTAACAACCGGTTATGTGGCGAGAACACTATATGTTTATAGCTAAGACATTTTAAGGAAACTCGTTTCTTCTATTTCAAATAGGACACACGATAACGTGCTGTGTGTACTTTGCTTGGGACCACAGCCCCCATGTCTGTCTATTGTTCAGGCGATCAGCAAATATCGATCCACCCTTTCCAAGAACTGTAAGCAAAAGTAAACTACAACTAGGTCACGTTAGGTCATTAATATGAGTGGAGGAAGATATTCACAGGGAGCAACACAGTATACCGTTACCGCAGATAAACTTTAACCACTTGCAGAAATCTGCTACGTGTGTAGTGCAGGGTATATATATTATCGTATTATGAACGGACACACACAAAGTTAATAATCTGACTAATTACAACACCAAGAGATGAATATCCATCCCCGTTGACATGAGACTAATACATAAAGTTATGTCACTTTACCGTCGTCCCATGCAGTTCTTGACGGCACACACGTTGTGGAACCTTATATCATTTCATTTACATATTATTTAAGATAGAACCTGTATAAAAAAAATGTGCCATTGCTTACACAATGTTCAAACGTCTGCTAGCACTTTAAACTTAAAATGTCTCAGTTAACGTTAACAGTAACGTAAATACAACCCGGGGCGTTCCGGTATTGACACTCGCGTGTCAACTCTAACTTGGCACAGGTTGTTTACATAACATTATATGTATTGGAAATTGGAGATGCAGACATCAAACAGGCGAAATGTTCTCGATCATTAAACACACAACAGGGATGAACATTACACGATTGAATCAGTGCTGAGCAGCGATCTGCTCGTAACTGCAATACTTTGGTCAACATAACCTAGGCTCGACTCAAACTGCCACATTCCCTGGGTCTAACATTTAACATTGATTTATTTTCTGACAGAATTTCTTGAACTCGAAATCGAGGAGAAAAACAGGAACTTCAAGAGTACATCTCTGAGAATTGTTTTCAATTTCCCTGAACCTCTCTGTTCCTAGCAGTAAAGGGGAAGATTCAGAACGAAATATGCATTGTATGAATGTAATGCTGTCATCAGGAGAGGAATAATCGGTGTATTGATATATGTATGAATATAGCTGTGAACTGGGTATTTTACGTTTACAATATAACACAATCTAGCATCAGCAGGTGGTACTACGAAATAAATGATTGTACTTGGGGTTGGAACCATTAATAAATGAAGGTACATGTGTAACGAGCAACTCGTCTGTTATCACAGACCTTATCTTTGGGTCACGTTCCACAGGCCAGAAGGAACAAGGTTGTGGGGGGAGGGGTTGGGTGGATGAGGCAACACCTTGGCGAATTGTTTTCAATTTCCCCAAAACTACCTTTCCTTACAATAAAGAGGAACATTCACAACATATGCTCTGTATAAATATAATGCTTTCATCACATAAGATGTATTATCATTGTCGAGTCATTGATATGTGTATGAATATAGCTATGAACTGGGTATTTTACTTTTATATGTGTATCACATCGCTCATCTACTATATTTAAGGTGTACTGGGTAAAACATCATTGCAACATTGTCAACCAGTGTGCCATATCAATAAAACCAGAAACACTAAACAGACAAGAAGTAGGACAACGTGAATTGAGTTCTATACTAAGAACATCCCTCGATTTCATTTCAAACCATGAACATTTATTGAACTGGACCATCCCAATGTACTTTTACGAGGCGGATAAGGTGTGTTTGTTTCAAAGATACCTTAGTAGTATAGTGTCACTAGTTAGAGTCTGGTTTTGGTGGAGGGAAAAGTGGAGGGAGCCTGAAAGGGTCCCCAGCCTACCGGTACTTTCTGAAAGCTACAGTATATACGATGCTGAAAAAAAGCAAACAGTCCCGACCTCGAGTTGACAATGCATGAATACAGTGTGGAACTGCAACCCTGAATGAATCGAACTGTGTCAACACCATGAGGTCTCCAGCTATACGAGTTCGCGAATATAAAATATATTTAAGAGAATATTTTATCCGTCAACTTTACGAAAATAGTTTCATCTCGTAGCAGTTGGGCTTGTAACGGCGGCGGCGGTATGCTATGTTTATTTCTCCTGTGTCGTAACATGACATCTCTCCTTGAAAACATTTTTTCACAGTCCGGACAGGTGGCAACCCCCATGGTGATCCAATACGGTGTGCGATTAGAGGTTATGAAGCTTTCTTTTATACCCTTGACTCTGTTGACGCTTCAAGGCAGCAAGTGTCCGTTCCACCACAGCCTTCATCTCCGACACATGTTGTATTTTCACGGGTTGGGGTGTTGTCTTCAATCCCTGTTTGGTTGTCATCGTTTTCATTTTAGGTGTTACCTGTCTCTTCTTTGTCTTCAGCGTCGACTTCTTGGCTGCTTGTGGTTTCTTTCTCTGTTGTGATTTTCTCAGCGTAGTCTTCCTAAATATATCTCTAGAGTCAAGTCTAATCTCTGATGCTTTCTTCATGTTGTTCACGTCCAATCCGTTTGCTGGCGAGAGTAAAACTGTTTGTCGGGCTACACTACTGTAGAGTTTATACTGTCTTACACGTGCAGGGAATCTTGGAAGACACTCTTTTCTTCACAGCACACTTGTGAGTATGTTAAAAAAGCGATCATATTAGTATAAAGTCTTCGTCATACTACACCCGTGAAGGGCCGGGTTATAGAATCGACCTTCAGTAACCCATGCTTATCGGCGACTGACGGGGATCGGTTGGTCAGTCTCGCCGACTCGGATGCCACGTGCCATCGGTTCCTAGTTGCACAGATCGCTGCTCATGCTGTTGATCACTGGATTGTCTGGTCCAAGCTCGTTTATTGACAGACCACCGTCCTAGAGCTTGAATAATGCCGAGTGTGGCGTAAAACTAAATTCACTCACTCACTGATACCAATACATCTAAAAAAGTAATGTCATCGTTTAAATGGTGAGTTTAAACGCGTATTTTACCCTTACAAGGACGAGTGCATTCCACACACCCTTCCTGTTATCAAATGTGTCACTGTTTACAGTTCGGGCGAACATAACCCTATAGACATGTGTGCGGGCGAGTTCATTCATCAGAAATATGTCATTTACGATGTGTTTATATATATGAACTGCTAACCACGCTCATAGCCATGTTGCGTGTCGTGGTTAGAACCGTAATTGATCTATTGAAAGGTGTCATACATTCGTGTTCGGATATAGGTACAATATCTACACGCACATACTTTCCTACATCATTCAAATGTATTAAATACCGGATACGTTTAATAGACACCAACGAAAGAAAGGTTTAATGAGGGGAATACCCATATATATCCTCTATGAACTAACTCCTTTTTAAAATAACAAATGTACAACACAATTTCCCTAACATATCATAAATACGGGACACTGGTCGCACAATTTATGAATGGGAAGCTTCAGGCGAGGCTGGTATGTTAACATTAATTGTAAGGCCGGGGTATGTTGACATTGTTATGGGCGGTCGGTCGCTTAGTCTCTCTGCTATACATTAGCTATGAATAAACCTGCTTCGACATATATTTCCAATAAAACATTTTCCTCGTGAAACATTTTTCCATGATAAACTCTGTTCTCTCTTCGAATTAAGGGTGACTATTGTAAACATGAAAATGTCCTATAGATTGCTTCCATCACTTTCCCAACAAACCTAGCTTTGTGCCGTCACACAGCTACATGTACTTATCAGTTTCTTATTGAACAGTGACATGGTTCTAACTATCTATTTTCAAAATAGCACGTTCTGAAGTAAAACTGTGCACATCATGTTACACGGTTAAAACTCAAACCACACGGTTTATTTGTCATCGCGTTAAATGGAAAAGCTTGCATTGAAACATCAACTATGCAAGTCGGGACAGGGCTGAATAATTCTATACAAATGGTTCACAATAGAACGCAGCGCGGTTGATTCGAAATCCGGCTGCCTTCAGCGTTGCAGTCAATGCAGGGTGACGTGACTACCTCGTTGTTGCGCGCTAAACTTTAACTACACCGCTAGCTGACACAGTTCGATTCATTCAGCTTTCAGAAAGTACCGGTAGGCTGGGGACCCTTTCAGGCTCCTTCCACTTTTCCCTCCACCAAAACCAGACTCTAACTAGTGACACTATACTACTTACCTTTACTTCTTTAAAAAATATAATACCTCTCAGAAAATGGGCTGATGTTTATCTGCTAGTCTTGACTTGTTGGGGACCAACTGGTAGCACATTCTTTTCTCCAGTGTGTTCATCCAGTGATACTGTGTGCAGTGTCCATTGTCGCCATGTGTGGGGATCTTGAGAATCTGAATGAATGCTTGTTCGATATCAATTTGTATTTTTATAAGTAAAATTTCAAAATAACCCATTCGAACACAGCTCGTATCTTTACTGTTACACCATGTCAGGACCTGTCTTGACACAATTTGTCTAATCAAGGCGAGAATGCATATATATATATCAGCTACAGTCTGGGTTGGTGATCATACGCCAGGTCTGCGCACTTGCTGAAACAAGAAGTACTACCATGGCTTAAAAAAACCGAACAGTAAACACTCGGTAAACGTCGATTGCCATAATAATACATGTGTTATATAAGAGTGGTGTTTATGCCATTGGTGTTTGAGATATATTTTTTTAAAAAAGGTCATTTATTGCTCTTCTGTTTACAGCGGGATCACGAGATGTCCTTAAATAAGACATTTGTGAACTTTCATAAAAGTTCAGCAATTCACATTCAGGGAATTCTAAAGTTCCATGGCAACCTGCAATGTTGATAAATGTAACAATGATGATTGAATGGGTAATTGCAACTGAACATTTAACGTTGATGCAGTATTGCCAGGATGTTTGAACAAGTCGAGTTGTGACGGAAAGTATGTTTCCAATGTATTGCATTGATAGCTACTTGATAGTAGCAATGATATGCCGTCATTGAAATTGAACATGGTGGATCGGGTACAGCGCTCTCATTGTAGACCTATGTTTATTTTATGGGACAAAACTACATTTGACACCGAAATCGCACAGTATGTTCATCTCAATTCTACCTTGACCATGAAGTGTTCCTAGAATCGCCTACAGAGGTGGGGATAATGGAGTATACTAGTGCATATTACGGACAAGCATTATCAGAATAGCAGGAGAATCTGGTCTGTCAGAGCAAGGCTGATAACAGACATCAGCCAGACCAGGAACTGCACTAGAGAGACACTTTTATATGATCGTTCTTGTTGCATGTAGAATTTGAGCAAAGCTACCCCTTCGTTAATATGTGTCCATATCTAAAAACATTGAATGATGAAGACTCTAAACATCGGTGACTATCCTCTTGATGTCGTTTAAGTCAAATAACATTAATGTCCTTAAATTATATTAAAATGTAGATTAAACCATAATGATTGTGAATATGAAGTAACAATAAATATGTTGGTAGGGTGTATTGGACATATCATTAGTAACGTGCATGTTATCTTGGCAACAGGATGTTTAGTACACAAATGGCTTCACCGCTCGCCTCAAACGTCACTGCATTGACACAACTGAACACATCTGCCCATGTATTGCATTGACAGCTACTTGGTGGACCGCTACTGTATGCAGTAATTGCCTCCTTATATGGAAAGTAATAGAAACTACAACCCACGCTCGCAAACTGATATGTCCCCTCGTTTTATAGTGGAAATAGCTAACGCTCCGAATATTAACGCGGCCCAGATATATGAAGGCATTAAGTTCAGAATTTCAATGAAAGATTTATTTACGGTTGTTTGAATCGTTACAACGCGATAGTGCATGTGCAGTATATTTTCTCATGCACAATATTAGAACGCTGAATGGGAGAGGGTTTGTATCGGATATAGTTAATGCTACATTAAGAACCCGTTATGGGGCAGGGTTTTCTGTATACAATATTATTGATATTAATACTTGTAGTCTTCATGGCAAAACAGCTCAGTCTTTGTGGTCTAGTAGATATAGCGTCTGTCGGGAGAGAGGAATGTCGTTGGTTCAATCCCCAGTCGCGCCATACCAAAAGGTGTTACTTGCTGTTACACTGCCTGGCATTAGGCATAAAGGGGATAAAACAAGGGCTGGTCGGTTCGGAGTCAATATAATGTGTGGCAATTTTGCGAAAGTCAGTAAAATGAAGCTTCCTAAATGAAATAGAGACAAGTAAGTTGAATTCATAATAATTCCTTTATAACAGCCAGCTGTTACTTTATCATACTGGTCTGCACTTGAGGATACTCTCATCATGTATACCCACCATTACATTGTATACCCAAAGCACTAGCTATTGGTAATCCTCTAGTCCATTCTGTAATACAACTGTTCACAAGTGCAGTACGTAGATGAAATGCCAGTAAAGGTAGATACTTTGTTAGGTTTTTGTTGTTTTACATACAACAGACAGTTTGGTGAAAGTGGCAAGAGAGAGAGCCAACTGGACTGGGAGGAGTACTTCATGGCCATTGCATTTCTGTCTGGAATGAGAAGCAAAGACCCCGTCACGCAGGTAAAATTGGGATTCATATATATCACGTGCTTTTAGTGAAAAGAAGCTATGGGTCTTAAAGAGGTTGTTTGCACTGCAGTAATACAACAGTTTTTGCGAAGAACTTTAAGCATAAGTCAACAGAAATGAACAGTATTATCAATTACCCTCGCCGTCGGGTAGCACACAGTCTGGTCACTGTAACGAGTCCATCTTGTGACATGTACCCTACCCTGCAGTACCCCTGACAGTTAAAAGGACACTGTTGTGTAATGACACACCTATCATCCAAAACTGGCCCCCTCAGGAGATATCGCTTGGGTGAGGTCAAGCGATATCTACATTGTAGATATCGCTGCAAAGAAATTGCATCACAATGCTTTGCAGACCATTGTGACGTTACTGGTTACCATGACGTCACAATAAAAAGACATCATTAATGGATCTGCTACTGAAGCTGTTAGCAGTACGTTTTATGACTGTTTGTTACTGTCTACAAACTGAAAAAGTTGGAAGAATGATGTTGGATGATAAATAAAATCTCACCCTCGTGACTTTCGATATCAAATATATCAACACTCGTTGATAAAAGTGGATAAACTTTTTTTCATCTTTTATGAACTCTTGTTGATATATTTGCTATCAAAAGACACTCGGGTGAGATATAGAGAATCTCACCCTCGTGTCTTTTGATATCAAATATATCAACACGAGTTGATAAAAGTGGAAAAATTCCGAGGCTGTGGCAGCCATTTTTGGATGATAAACTCTCTTTAACACAGCTAATGTATTAATTGTGGGCGAGTTGTAGGTCGGAGCGTGTATTGTCAATCCTAAGAAAAGGATCGTCGGAACCGGTTACAACGGGATGCCTAACAACTGTAGCGATACACTGCTCCCCTGGGAAAAAAAAGATGCCGCCAGCCAACTGGGAACTAAATATTATTACGGTAAGTCATAATAATGAAAATTGCTACATGTTAACATTACAGAATTACATACACACACATGCACACGCATGCACACACGCACACACACAGACACAGACACACAGAAACAGACACACAAACACCCACACACAGAGAAAGAGACACAGGCAGACACACACACAGAAACAGACACAAACACACAGAGAAACAGACACACAGACACAGACACACAAACACACACACAGAAACAGACACATGCAGACAAGCAGAAACAAACACAGGCAGGCACACACACAGAAAAAGAAACAGGCAGACACACACACAGAGAGAAACGGGCACAGGCTTGTTTCCATGTAACGAGTGCGCCAAGATCATCATCCAGTCTGGCATCAAGACAGTGGTCTACTACTCGGACAAGAAACATGACAAGGAGGAAGTAAAAGCCGCGAAGATCCTGTTTGAGGCGGCTCGTGTCGAAACAAGGTTTGTTACGATTTCAACCAGAATTCCTCACTTACACCTATAAGCTCTGAATGCTGTTTCTAGAATTGTAGTTAGTTTTTATTCAATTTTTAGACTAAGCCACGCCTTGACGTGTTTCGGCCCAAAGTGACAGTTCCCAAACAAACGACAGCCAACCGCAACACGTCTGCAGTTTCCCTCCGGGAAACCAAGCTGCACTGATGAGTCCTGGTGGGACGAAACGTGTCTAAAGGGATTACTCTAATCGGATTAAACGGATTAACGCTTGAAAGGTAAGAATTGGTGGCTAACCCTAACCCTAAACCCTAACCCTAAGGACCCCCAAGGGGGTGTTTGACCCTAGAGACGCGTAAGTTTCCCTAAGACCCCCAAGGGGTGCTTGACCCTAAAGACGTGTAAGTTTCCCTAAGGACCCCCAAGGGGTGCTGGCCCGGCAAGGGGTGTTGGAGTCACTGGAGCGTGAGCCACGGTCACGGTATAGCGAGACACCGGCCGCGGTAATTGAGCGGATGGTAGAGGCCGGGCTGCGCCCGGTAAACTGCATTGTTGCCCTGTTATGTTTGTGATTTATTTGCATAGACAAGATAGTTGTATTTTGCTATTGTTTTTTTGTGAACTGCAATGCGCCGTGAGACTGCTATCCTCGCGCATCCCGTGACATGTGACTATTTTGTTTGGTGCATATGTTAGAAGAATGGGGAGTACCGCCGTACTAATCCGCAAGGGGCGTGCGTGTACTAGTGGTCATACTCTGTGACGATTCCGCGATTAGAATGCGCTGCGAATCATTTAGCGCGAAGTTCAAGTAGAGCCGTAGCCAAGTCTATGTAAACATGGCCGGCCAGTACCTGCTATGGTCCGTGCCAAAACTCAAATGTGCGCTCTTTCAACGAAACGCTTCGACAGCTGGAAGGAAACTTGAACTGATCGAGAGGTATGTAACCCATTTTTTTAGTTATCAAGTATGCTTACATTCATAATCTGCGATATGCACTGCAATTTCTACTAGGCCCTTTTCTTGCCTGTCAAATAAGTGCCATCTCTGTCACTGTCAGGCCTACTGTGACTGACAAAATCAACTATCGATATATTTCAGTTGTTGCCTTCCATTAAACCATGACCTACTGTATAGTTACCTATAACCAAAGTACTAACTGTGGCTCCCGGTCTCAGATTATATAAATCCTCGATAAATGGCGCAGTCTCCATTGCGTCGTCTGTTAACATTCACCGCACTCCTGAGACGTCACCTGTTTTCGAACACCCGATTGCTTTTGTAGTTTAGCGGGGCTATTTATGAATATGATCAGCAGTGTTTTGACACGTAGTTCTCAACAAAATTCGGTACGACTTCCGCCCGTATCCGCCAACATTTTTTTCAAAAATAATTAAAAGTGAGCGTCAACGCATTGGACATATTACTTTAGGATGGGGGTTTCGGGCGGAAGATTTTCCCATAATGCTTGCAAGTCGGCAGTAAAACACAGAAGGTTTATACAACTTTGAAACCTGTTGTATTCACAAAATATAGACGTTTTTCAAATTATAGTGTTATATTTTACTCTTCCTTTTCGTCATGATATGGGCACCAAAATTCTGAATGACTTATGATAGGTGTACAGTGCAGTGCTTACTGACATTTCTGTGTCCATGAAATGATTATTGAAACGTGGCGACTCTATGTCACATTAACAATTATCATATTTTTATCCAGGTATTTTATAAAACAGGAAATGTGTTTTCAAATAGTATCAGTATATCTGGTAATAATTTGTCTTCTGGCTATATAGGCATGAGATTATCAAACACAGTTTAATCATACAGGTTTCATTGCTTATTCATGATGCATGTCATTTATAAGATAAATTAGTCATAGTGATAATGATGTGAATTATTTTCCTATAATATTATGCCCTTATGCAAATCTGAAATAGTAGTTGCACACATTAAAATGTATTTAATTTTCATTTCAGACTTGAATCTTATGACAGAAATGATGATTTTGTTGGGCCATCTGTCTCCATCCCACGTCCAGAAGATACATCATGGCCAGTGTCAGGATTTCAACAGCTGATGCCTTCCCATCGTCAACTACTGCCTCCCATTTCCAAAGAAATCATTGAGGGTTAATTCATCTACCGTATGACAGGAGACAACCAAGCTGCCCATGATATCAAGGCCATAGAGAAAGGTTCTCTGATGTTTGAGGGGGACAGGGTGCTGGCATGCAGTGTTCACATACGTGCATCTAATGATGTATACTTAAGTGGCATCGTCAGTGCATCTATGAAAAACAAGGTAAAATATTTACACACCATAAAATAAAAATAAAAAATAAAACCTTTTTAAGTTATAATGAAATTTGTACTCAAAGATGAAGCTAATCCGAAATACATTCTTGACATAATACCGATTGAAAGTGAATTTATTAATGGGAAATGTATTTGCGTTTTCATATTGTATTTTACGGTGTATAACACAGTTCATAAAATGATTTTAAAAGACCATTACCAGTAATAATCTGTAGCTTAGGATCGGTGTTTCATGCAAAACACGAGTTAGCTCCCTTTGCCCTTTGTTTACAATTGTTTCGCTAGTACTTTCGTGCACTTTCAGTTGTTTATGTCATCGTCTCATCTAAATTTATATACTTGTTTAAATTGTTTAAAGACTTTATTGCCATTTACCATTAAAGTAATCATAACGTTTTAGCTTGTGTAGTAAACTGTAATCTGATAGTACTAACCATGTTGTCGATGTAAACACAGGAGTTACTTCCCTTAGCTTCAGGAATTGTGAACTGTCTTGTGTCGTTTTGGATGATGATGTCGAGGTGTTGCAAAAGCAGTCAATTAGTTTTCCTTTTTGTATTTTAACCTAGTCCGTAAACATAAATGTTTTACTTCTAGACTGATAATAATATCACAATCTAGACTGTGTCGTGTTGCATTAGTGATCATTGTTGGAGACAAAACCATAACAGTAGTTTTGTTTTCCTCCATGGGAGTCACCATGGAGATGTGTTGCTCCATCTGAAGTGTCTCAGCTGTTTGTAGACTCCTTGGGGGTGAGTGCTGATCAGCAGCTACATTAATAATATTTCAACTTTTAATTACCAATCTAGTCACTGTCCATTTTTTATTATCAGTATTAAGTTGTTTTCAACTATATCATTATATTTCATCAACCTGTTATTTCATATAACATTCCTTTGTTGTTGGTTTGAACTATTCAGAATAGGATATGTTGGGTTATCATGTAACTGAAATGTATTTTCATCCTGGTGACTGTAACATCCTAACAGGAGAAATATCTACGTCTGAATAATGTTGTGTGAAGTTTGTTGTGAATTGAAATGCTTTTCACCATAATAACTTATGTACACTGTTACCATGTGGCCATGTTTATAAGAAATGTTATATGTATTTGTTTTAGGTTACGCCATGGGTGGCTACAATTCTGGCTACTACAGCGAATAAAAGTGATGGAAGAGTGATATTTTACTTAGTCCTCTTTAACCCCCCACACAAACACAACTTATCCGCCTCGTAATGGTGCTTTGGGATGGTCCAGTTCAATAAGTGTTGATGTTTTGATCGAGGGATGTTCTTAAAATAGAACTCAATTCACGTTGTCCTGCTTCATGTCTGTTTAGTGTGGCACACTGGTTAACACTGTTGCAATGATGTTTTACCCAGTACACCTTAAATATAGTAGATGAGCGATGTGATACACATATAAAAGTAAAATACCCAGTTCATAGCTATATTCATACATATATCAATACACCGATTATTCCTATCCTGATGACAGCATTACATTCATACAATGCATATTTTCTACTGAATCTTCCTGTTAACTGCTAGGAACAGAAACGTTTCGGGAAATTGAAAACAATTCTCAGAGATGTTCTATCAGAAAATATATCAATGTTAAATGTTAGACACAGGGAATGTTTGAGTCGAGCCTAGGGGAATTCCTGGGGTGTTTCTGGATTGGGTGTCAGAAATGTCACAAGACCGAATGTGGAGAACCTCATCCTGTCCTGGGTGTTGATGGGATCACGTTATACAGACACCCGCTACCGCCTGAGTCTCGTGAACCAACACCCTGAGGTGAAACGGGTCATCACCCTGTGGGAATGCCAGTTTTAAAAAATGCAACAGGAGGACTCACTGCATACTTTCTTGCAGGGACCCCACTGTATCCACTTACCTGGTCCGCTTAACCCTTGCGACGCCTTCTATGGAGGACGAACCAATGCCACTCTATTACGCCAAGAAGCCCAAGAAGGTGAAACCATCAGGTATATCGATATATGTTCACTTTATCCTTACATTTGTAAGACCAGAGCGTTTCCCACGGGACACCCAACCCTTCATCAGCCCCCTGTGGACACGTTGTTTGAGCTGAAAGGACAAATCCAATGTCGTGTCCTACACACGAAACGACTCTACAATCCGCTACTGCCCTACAGATCGGGTGGAAAACTGCTCTGTCCTTTGTGCAGCACATGTGCCGATACCCGGTCAGACTCACCCTGTGAGCACACCAACGAAGAGAGGTTTTGTGTGGGCACGTACGCCACCGTAGAACTCCATGAAGCCATGAAGAAGTATCGACACCTTTGCAAAGCATGACCCCGACACCCAGCAACCGGGGCTGTGCTTTCTCTCTCATGCTAAAAGCCTGACCCTATGAAAAAGAAACACAATGGGTGTGCCACACTGGGGTGGCGTGTGGGACAGAAACGAACCAGTCAGGAAGCAGGGATTCAGTGCCTTAAACCAACAGACGCTCTCTGGTCAACTCTTTTCGCTGAACTGTCCAAGCAACAACATCGTCCCTCTGATTGATGTTCCTCACGTTGTGATGGCTGTTGGCGTTTTATCTGGAAGAAACGCGTGTTTTGAGAGAGAACCATCAAGTGTTGACTCACATCCGTGAAGACTTGGAAAGAAACAATGGACAGAAAAGTGAATCGACAACATCATTTCCAAACTTATGAATGCCAAGACATGAAGCGACATGGGGGGGGGGGGGGGGGGGGGGGGGGGGGCACGGGTGGCCCAGTCGTCTAAGGCGCCGCAATTCGCTGTGCAGAGTTGCGTCCCTTGGACACGCCAGAAACCTGTGATTGTGGGTTCGAATCCCGGTTCGCCCCAATTATGTTTCTAGGTTTGTCAGCACCATACCCGTGCTCGTGGGTTTCACCAAAGTGGTTAACATCTGAGACCTGCATCACTTCGGGCTTTCCTCCAAAATTAAGCTGACACGCCGCGATATAACTGGAATACTGTTAAAAGCGGCGTTAAATCCAACTCACTCACTCACTGAAGCGACATGGGTGGTAAAGGGAGTGGTGAAGGGAACGGTGAAATGACCGCTGAACTGTGGGGTGAAGTGTACGATGTAATGTGCGAAGATAAAGGCCGACGATGTGTACGCCAAGTTACGTACAAAGGCCGACGAAGTGATGTGCGACATGATACGATCGAAGATAAGGAAACTGACTGAACCCAAGAAAGTAGCACCGAAGAAGAAGATAAAGAAGACCCAATAGAAAAAAAACCCATCAAACCAGCGGCAGCAGTATCAACAACTGTAGCAGCAGCAACCACAGCAACAGCAACCACAACAGCAGCAGCAGACACCGAAATGAAAGAGACATGCTTTTTGAAACCTGCAACACCTGCAAAAAGGCGACCACGGAAGAAATTGTCTCGGAAGATCTCTCATCAAGAACATCTGTAAGTACCATGCTATTCTTAGGGATGTGTATGTCATTATGATGATGATGATGAGTATCACTAATGCATGACTATGATCGTGGGTATACTTAAGGGTTCTTTTCTTGTTGGATTGACAAGACACCCATCCTTCCTTCCCCCGATGTCAGTTCAGTGCAGACCCTATTGGAACAGTGGTGGGAACAAACCCCTCGGGAGCCAACCTATTCGCCCAATGCGTCTGTGACGGGGATGATCATGAAGCGCTCAAGCTGACAGCCCTCCCTTCCATGGATCTGGACACACCCACCCTGCTTGATGCTTCTTGGTCACAAGCATCACCAGAGGATGTCATCTCTTCAGGTATGGCCATGGTTTGCCATGACGACAACGTTGACGACGATCCTTATGGAGAAGCTCAACTCACTTCCATACAACGTGAATGTAATGCCTGTCGGCACAACAATATGCTGAGATACACAAGCTGCAACAGTGGTCAAGTGATGTGTCATCTCTGTTTCAGGGAGGCCATAGACTGTACTTGTTTTACTGATGAGGAGTCCCAAACATGTTTGGAACCTATTTGGGTCAATATGATGGACCACATCTCTTGGTGATGCCATCTTCACTCGAAGAGTTTGAAGATGAAAGATGAAAGTTTTTTGCGTTGTTGAAGGGACATGCAAAGCACTCCCTCCTCAGTTGTCTTTTCGTATTTCCTATGTATCTGGTTGTTGTTGTTGTTCATTATTAAACAGTGATTGATTGAACTGACTCTTTGTGTCTTGATTGATCCAATAGGGTGCCGAACCGAATGTAGAGGCTGAGTTGAGATGTCATCTACGTTGTCTGTCTGTCTGTCATGTCTGTGCACATGCTCGTTGTTAAAGTTAAGAAAAAATAAAGAAAAAAATAGATAAATGAGAAAAGCCATGCTTGAAAGATGAGTTGCCTTGTAAGACGTCAAGGAGTCTACATGGTGTTCAGACTGTGGTAAGACATTTTCTAAGATGCCTTACCTAGCATCGGCGACGCATGGAGTCCACCGGACGTTATCTGGAGGATGTGGAAGACAACGCAGACGGCGCTCCATTTCATCCCACACATGCTCTATTGGGGAGAGATCTGGAGAATTTGCAGGATATGGTAGTAACATGACATTGTTATGGTGAAGGAAATACATTGCGACCCTAGCCGTGTGAGGACGAGCGTTGTCCTGTTGAAATGTCAATCCCGGGCCATGACGTTGCAGGAAAGGAATGACCACAGGCCTCAGAATCTGATCTCTGTAGCCAACACCGGTGAGATTGCCCTGAGCAACCACCAAAGGGGTTCGGTGCCGTGCTGTTATCCCACCCCAAATCATCACAGAGCCACCTCCAAAGCGATTCCTCTCCACAATACAGTTGCGTTGCTCCCAAACGCCGGTTGACACGTTGGCGCCCGTCACTGTGGGAAATGTTGACAATATTTCTCCACCATCTTCGAGGTTGGCGAACATGATTTCGACACCATCTTAGACGGTTGACTCGATGACGGTGTGTCAGGATGGGACGTATGGCAGGGCGTCGTGGTCGAATCCCGTACTGAGGTAAACGATTCCTGACAGTGTTGGGATGGATACGGCGCAGTCCACGAATTGTCTGGGACGTCGTTACTGCCGTTTGGAACCTGTGTCGGAGATGTGTAACGCGAATCGATCTGTCCTGTCTTGGCATCGTTACTCGGGGACTTCTGAACGTGGGTGGTCGGCAACGTCATTTGTGTTCTGATAACGCCTCACCAATGCCGATATCGTGTTACGATGGCATTGGAAATGTGTTGCCACCTGTTGTTGCCTCATTCCCGCTCGGATCATTCCAATGGCTTCATGACGTTGTGCAGCTGTCAATCTTGGCATGATTTGCTTGTGATATGCTTGTGTCTGCGCCTGAGAAGTTTTGAATTTTTGAATGACAACAGATCATGCTATCCAAAGTGACAGCGAATTTTGAGTTGCACATGCTGTGTACAGCTGCACAGGATGCACGTGCAGTAACACATTGCACGTCCATGGGCCCCCATCAATGACGTCATATCGCATGGCACGCGCATGAGCGTTTGTACGTCTCCAAAAATTGCTGTGTTCAAACCTATATTTCATATATGGATGGTGTGCCCTTATATCTTTATTTTCTCCGTGCACAGTTTCTTTATGTGGCTAGTATAGTTCCAACTAAAATCTGTTTCTTATACAGTGGCGAAGCAACATATACGCAAAACAACAGTTGTTTTTAATTGCCTCTCTCGGCAATCCATCGGTCTGTCTGCTAGAGTAACTGCCCTTGGTCAAAGGGAAGCTACTCTAACCCTAGTCTATGAGACGTCACGGCCACGGCCACGTTGTTGACAGTCGGTCTGTCCTGTCATTACGTTAAGAAGTGCAATCGGATGTACACACAGCGACAAAACGATACAAGGTAACAATTGAAACATATTTCGGCCAAATCCAACTATTTTAATTTGTGGAGAAGGTTTCAAGCCGCAGAGGTCTACAAGCACAGATATGGCTACTGATCCCGCTTGGCTAGGCCTCGTGCCCTCGCAAAATTGTTTCGAAATTTATATCTCCAAAGTTGCCAAAACTTATAAAAATGCCTTAGCTACGTCACAGTTAAACACTGATTTTCAGTATATTAGACTGTTCTTTTGATAATGATAGCAATTATCCCTGTAGATTATCCAGATTCCCGATGGTTAATTCTGTCTCGATCGCCGAATGACGAGGGTGACGCCATGTTTGTTTATAAACAGTGAAAGTAGTCCTACTTGACCTTTGATATTTGCATCTCTATCCGCATATGACCCCAACGGATATCTTTTTTATCCGTTGGCTTTATGCTGCCGAGAAACCTACCCATTACATGATAAATTTGGTTACAAATACAAAAAGATAACTTGAGAAAATAGGGCTGTGTTGTGTGAACGGTCTGACATTGTTCGTCTCCGAAATCATTACCTTCGTACCATCAAGCAGAAACGTGAAGAAGGATATGAGCTCGTCTTCTTAGATGAGACATGGGTAAATGCGTCATACACAGCCAGCAGTCAGTGGGTACCCAGTGGTGACTGTAATGAGTCTGGTAGAAAGTTACCAATGGGAAATGGCGAAAGACTCATAGTTCTCCATGCTGGTTCTGCTAATCAGGGTTTTCTCCGAGACTGTGACTTTGTCTTTAGAGCCAAGTCCAAAGACAACAGGGACTACCACACAGAAATGAACGGCAATGTATTTCTGGAGTGGGTGAAAGATAAATTAGTCCCTGCTTTGCCTAGCATGTCACTCATTGTCATGGACAATGCACCGTATCATAGTGTGCAGGATCCAGAAAGCAAGACTCCAACCTAGCCGTAAAGGAGACATGGTTACTTGCATGCAACGGAGGAACATTACCTTTCCTTCTCGAGCGACGAAACCACAGCTCTATGAAATCATCAAAACTATGAAACCTGACCCCGTGTATAAAGTTGACAGTTACATCAAGGGTCAGGGTCACGCTGTCTTACGACTGCCACCTTATCACTGCAACCTGAATCCAATCGAGTTGGTATGGGGCATCGTCAAAGGTGACGTTGGACGATCGAACACAACGTTCAAATTACGAGACGTTGAACAACTCGTAAAGGTCGGGTAACAGTAGAAACATGAAGGCGTTGTGTGGCCACAGTCGTTGAAGAGATAGGGTCACGTTATTGGTCACGAGATTGACTACGGCCAGCAACAGTCCAACCTATAATAGTGGCAGTCGGTTCAGGCACCAGCAGTTCCGACGACGAGATCTATGGCATGAGCGAGTCAGATTGCGACTGAAATTATCATGAGACGGCCCCTCTAACGCTCTGTCATTTCCCCTACCACAGAACGTGCAGTGCATGCGTGCTTGCGCTGTGCCTTCCACGGTTTGTCCCCCCCTACGTGTCATGTACACATTTCTACACAAAATTACATGATAGTTTCTTAAAGAACTTCATCCGCCATGGGTCTTAAAATAAACAAAATTCAGATTTTGTTGGGTACAGGGTATTTATGGTCAAGTACCGTATTGATGTTTTATACACTTTTCTGGATTTCGAGTTATTTTGCAATTCCTCGTTCTCATTTGGAGTCAAACGGACTGTAGGTTCTGTGAGGGTAGGGTTCATTTCCGGAGCATAACTCATAAACGGTTCAATATGTTTTCATGAAACTTTGCAGGTTTGTCAGGTACATGCTGAACTGGTGCCTTTTGCTATTTAGAAATTTTAGAAATATTTATTTTTTTACGTTTCCATGGCAGCAAGAAAGACTTAGGTTCCAAACTCTTCTCTTTTTTTTACAATTTCCATGACAAGTTCCACCTCGGTTTTAAAAAAGTTAGGGTTTGTTCAGATTTAATTATGTCATACATTCTGCAACAGGGGCGACTAACGGGATCGGGTGGTCAGGCCCGCTGATTTGGTTGATACATGTCATTGTTTCCCAATTGCGTCGATTGATGCTCATGATGTCGGTCACTGGATTGTCTGCTCCAGACTCGATTATGTTTCAGACCGCCGTCAAATGGTTGGAATATTGCTAAGTGCGATTAACAACAAACAAACAACATGATCAGGACACATCACAGGAAACTGAATGCAAACAAAATGGAAGTAATATATTCTAATTATTGTAACGTTGCAGTGGTACTAGTACAGGAAAATACTTTACTAAGTAATGTCAGAAATAGAAAAAAATGTGTTTGTTATACTACTTCATCAACCTTATAATTAACAGCGTAAACAGTTTAAATATTAACTCAAAAGTATTTGACATAATTTAGCATTTAAGTTTAAAATAATATTCTAAACTGCCAGGCAAAATAAAAGTTTAACCAAACGATTACAAATGTTATACATCTTGTTCAATACCGTTAATACAGACCCGACCCTATGTTACAGTTTAACTTACGGTTTGGATTTCCAACCGAAAAGCACTGACAGAACGACACAGTTTGGATTGAAGAAGTGTTCGCTAACAGTCGGGTCAGGCGGGTACACGGGTACACAAAGCTGACGGTGTTTATTTTCTTAGAAATTTGAAGGTCGCTTCAAATGAGTGGCAGGTGTGACAAACGCCCGGCTCTGGTTCCCAAGATGCATATCTTAGTCCCCTGTGTGGAGTTCGTGGAATAGGCCCCAGTCCACACTCTTTGTCATATGAGCCGTCTAGTGCGGATTGGCTGGTGACTATGTGTGTCCCAGTTCATTGTGTGTCATCGTGCCGCTACTGGTTGAATGTGTCAGCGTGCCGCTACTGGTTGACTGTGTATCATCATGCCGCTACTGGTTGACTGTGTGTCATCATGCCTCTACTGGTTGACTGTTTGTCATCGTGCCCCAACTGGTTGATTGTGTGTCATTGTGCCGCTACTGGTTGAATGTGTGTCATCGTGCCGCTACTGGTTGACTGTATGTCATCGTGCCGCTACTGGTTGATTGTGTGTCATCGTGCTGCTACTGGTTGACTGTGTGTCATCGTGCCCCAACTGGTTGACTGTATGTCATCATGCTGCTACTGGTTGACTGTGTGTCATCATGCTGCTACTGGTTGACTGTATGTCATCGTGCTGCTACTGGTTGACTGTGTGTCATCGTGCTGCTACTGGTTGACTGTGTGTCATCGTGCTGCTACTGGTTGATTGTGTGTCATCGTGCTGCTACTGGTTGACTGTGTGTCATCGTGCCCCAACTGGTTGACTGTGTGTCATCATGCTGCTACTGGTTGACTGTGTGTCATCGTGCTGCTACTGGTTCACTGTGTGTCATCGTGCTGCTACTGGTTGACTGTATGTCATCATGCTGCTACTGGTTGACTGTGTGTCATCATGCTGCTACTGGTTGACTGTGTGTCATCGTGCTGCTACTGGTTGACTTTGTGTCATCGTGCTGCTACTGGTTGACTGTGTGTCATCGTGCTGCTACTGGTTGACTGTGTGTCATCATGCTGCTACCGGTTGACTGTGTGTCATCATGCTGTTACTGGTTGACTGTGTGTCATCATGCTGCTACTGGTTGACTGTGTGTCATCATGCTGCTACTGGTTGACTGTGTGTCATCGTGCTGCTACTGGTTGACTGTGTGTCATCATGCTGCTACTGGTTGACTGTGTGTCATCGTGCTGCTACTGGTTGACTGTGTCATCATGCTGCTACTGGTTGACTGTGTGTCATCATGCTGCTACTGGTTGACTGTGTGTTATCATGCTGCTACTGGTTGATTGTGTGTCATCATGCTGCTACTGGTTGACTGTGTGTCATCGTGGCGCTACTGGTTGACTGTGTGTCATCGTGACGCTACTGGTTAACTGTGTGTCATCGTGACGCTACTGGTTAACTGTGTGTCATCGTGCCGCTACGGGTTGACTGTGGGTCATCATGCCGCTACTGGTTGACTGTGTGTCATCGTAGGCGCCCAGCTAGCCAACCCACTAACCAACCAGCTAACCAACCTTCCTTCTCCGGGCACAACGTTCAAACCTGTCCATTGTCTGGACTCAAATCAGCTAAATGTATTGATATTATAATGAACAACCCCAAGTATACCAGTGCATATAACACAACCACTTTTTACCTTTTTGCACAGGTGGGTATATTTACCCTTGGGGCAAAGAGCTTGCACGTAAACAGACGTACATCAGGTACATTAGGCCAGAGGTAGGCCATGTGTTCATGAACAGACAGACAGTTTTCAAGACCGCCGGATTCATTTTGTTTATTTGGATGGACCCATCTTTTAGCCACCGCATATGCATAACTCAAATACCCTATCAACATGCTAGTACACCAGAACAAGAAAGCCTATTTTATTCTGTTTATTTATTTTTCAAGCATAAAATACCAAGGGCAAGAGAGTGTATACAATGCAAGCATATCACACAAAAGTGTAACAATCGCATGTTAAGTCAACTATGGAAGGACAACGATTACATAGATAGCAAAAGGCATGTAATGTAAATGAAAAGGCAACATCTCTATCACATGTCTACCCGAAAGAAGACATATATGTTTCACATTTGCATCTATGCAGGAAGATTCAGGGTGAAAAGAACTATCCACAAAACCGTTTGAAAAGAGAAAGACTTCCATTTTCAACTTTCCCTTTGTGCGGAACAGTATCACAGCATCTGATAGTGATTTATAAACACGTGTATAAGCCATGGTCGGAACCGTACAATGGACCCTCTTTACTCTACTTTAAGCAGATATGCGTAATTATTACAAATAAATCAAATTAAATTATCCCAAATAAAGTTAAACGACACAATTTAAACCAATCAAAAAGGCGAGTGTCTTTTATAATTATTATGAAGTTCCATATTTTCTTTTGTGTCATGCTTAACTGATTTATAGTGGAGGGTTTGGACCAACATCATCACGCACGAGAGTTATAGGGCAGCTGGTTTTCGCTGAGATAGTATAAGTATAAGTAAAAGTTTAAGTAAAAGTATAAGTAAAAGTATAAGTAAAAGTATAAGTAAAAGTTTAAGTATAAGTATAAGTAAAAGTTTAAGTAAAAGTATAAGTATAAGTTTAAGTAAAAGTATAAGTAAAAGTTTAAGTAAAAGTATAAGTAAAAGTATAAGTAAAAGCGTATAGATAAAACAACCTCCACTCAAACACTACCATGAATAAATTGAAAAAAACCCCAAATCTCCCGGAAATATAAAAGTGGCATTATCAAAAGAGATCACCTAAAGTGTGCCTCTTTGGTTTAAAAAGTATATTGGGAGGATAACCACCTTCTCGGGGAGGATGGATGCCGGAAATCAGTAAAATATGTGCACGGTGAAGCAAGAGGTGTTACGTTTGTGTCTGGTCTTTTACAAACTTGAAGAATTAGAGCAGTGAGTGGCCCATGAATCTAAGACAGCAGTTCACATACAAATTCATTCCAAAATACTTTGCTTATCATGAATCTCGAACTACAAATCAATCGTTAAACAATGTATTGTTGATTTGGAAATCAGTGTTATGTAAACATGTTCCCCTCATTAACCAGATGAAAGAAACACTTTTTGATGAGATTTGAGTTCAGGTAACCATTCCATCTCTGACAATCAGTCGGACCTGGAGGCAACTGTTCCTTGATTGGTTCCATCTTTCCATGAACATCAGTGGAGCCTGGAGGACAATGAAGCTTGATTAGGTCCATCTTTCCACGAACATCAGTGGAGCCTGGAGGACAATGAAGCTTGATTGGGTCCATCTTTCCACGAACATCAGTATTACATACAGAAAACTGTACCTTGATTGGGTCCATCTTTCCACCATCATCAGTGGGACCTGGAGCAAACTGTATCTTGATTGGGTCCATTTTTCCTCGATATGGTCTGAAATACATATGTATACATTCTAGATGCACATTGCAGCTGTCAATGATGAAATTGTTATTACGGTATTCAAATATTCGTATGCAATGATTTTTTGTCATGATAGCGTTTCATCAGGACAGTTAGGCTGCTTGACTCAAACTCAACTCAAGTACAAGCAGAAAGTAAATATGTTCTACAACAATTACTGACCTGTATTTGACACCAGCCATGCGCAGAAGTATCTTTGATACTTTCACCTCGTCCTTTTCCTTTTTCTCATCCGACAAGTAGACAACCTTATGGATTCCAGACTGAATGATCATCTGGGTGCAGTGGTTACATGGGAACAGAGTCACGAAGATCTTGCAGTCTTTCAAGTTAGCAGAGAACCTGTTCAGTATGGCGTTCAGCTCAGCGTGGCAGACTGGAAATGAATACTTTCATAACAAGAAGTGGCTCAAACTGTTTTCTTCTCACAATAATTCACTTTCTCCTTAATCCTACTACTCTCTTCCCACCCTGTCATGAAATCCCCACCATAGCATGCCCTGATATCGTGGCTCGTTGTTCACTCACTCACTCACTCACTAACTCACTCACTCACTCTCCCACTCACTGTGTTTATGTGGACTTAATGAATAAAAAAATACTCTGTTTCCAAATATCATATTTTGTCATTGAGTACATGAAGAAAGTTAGCATTCATATGAATTTGTTATTTAGAGAATAGTGATATCAAGTGTGCTTAAATGACATTCACCTTTAATGGAGACTACTGTGATAGTAAATTTCATACCATAAGGTTTCTTATTGTCTAAGCCTTCTCCCTTGCCCCACGGTAGTTCGTCATCACTGCAGCGATCGGGCATTCCGTTGTAACCGGTACCGACGATCCTCTTATCTTTGTTCACAATACAAGCTCCGACCTGTAACACAAGATGTAAAACAAGATGTAACATAGATGTAAGACAAGATGTATCACAAGATATAACACAAGATGTAACACAAGATGTGAGTGAGTATGGTTTTACGCCGCTTTCAGCAATATTCCAGCAAAATCACGGCGGGGGTCACCAGAAATGGGCTTCACACATTGTACCCATGTCGGGAATCGAACCTGTGTCTTCGGCGTGATGAGCGAACGCTTTAACCACTAGGCTACCCGACCGCCCAACACTAGATCTAACACAAGATGTAACACAAGATGTAACACAAGGTGTTACACAAGATGTAATACAAGATGTAACATCAGATGTAACACAAGATGTTACACAAGATGTAACATAAGATGTAACATGAGATGTAAAACAAGATGTAACATGAGATGTAACACAAGATGTAACATGAAATGTAACACAAGATGTAACACAAGATGTAATGCAAGATGTAACATGAGATGTAACAAGATGTAACAGAAGATGATACATGAGATGTAACACAAGATGTAACATGAGATGTAACACAAGATGTAACATGAGATGTAACACAAGATGTAACATGAAATGTAATACAATATGTAACACAAGATGTAACATAAGATGTAACATGAGATGTAAAACAAGATGTAACATGAGATGTAACACAAGATGTAACATGAAATGTAACACAAGATGTAATACAAGATGTAACATGAGATGTAACATGAGATGTAATACAAGATGTAACATGAGATGTAACATTAGATGTAACATAAGATGTAACATGAGATGTAAAACAAGATGTAACATGAGTTGTAACACAAGATGTAACATAAGATGTAACATGAGATGTAAAACAAGATGTAACATGAGATGTTACACAAGATGTAACATGAAATGTAACACAAGATGTAACACAAGATGTAATACAAGATGTAACATGAGATGTAACAAGATGTAACACGAGATGTAACATGAGATGTAACACAAGATGTAATACAAGATGTAACACAAGATGTTACACAAGATGTAACATGAGATGTAAAACAAGATGTAACATGAGATGTAACATTAGATGTAACATAAGATGTAACATGAGATGTAAAACAAGATGTAACATGAGATGTAACACAAGATGTAACATAAGATGTAACATGAGATGTAAAACAAGATGTAACATGAGATGTAACACAAGATGTAACATGAAATGTAACATGAGATGTAAAACAAGATGTAACATGAGATGTAACACAAGATGTAACATGAAATGTAACACAAGATGTAACACAAGATGTAATACAAGATGTAACATGAGATGTAACAAGATGTAACACGAGATGTAACATGAGATGTAACACAAGATGTAATACAAGATGTAACACAAGATGTTACACAAGATGTAACATGAGATGTAAAACAAGATGTAACATGAGATGTAACACAAGATGTAACATGAAATGTAACACAAGATGTAATACAAGATGTAACATGAGATGTAACAAGATGTAACATGAAATGTAATACAAGATGTAACATGAGATGTAACACAAGATGTAATACAAGATGTAACACAAGATGTAACATGAGATGTAACAAGATGTAACACAAGATGTAACATGAGATGTAACACAAGATGTAATACAAGATGTAAAACAAGATGTTACACAAGATGTATCACAAGATGTAACACAAGATGTAACATGAGATGTAAAACAAGATGTAATACAAGATGTAACATGAGATGTAACACAAGATGTAATACAAGATGTAATACAAGATGTAACATGAGATGTAACACAAGATGTAACACCTGATGTAACACAAGATGTTACACAAGATGTAACATAGGATTGATGTAGTAGCCTGTACATGTTTAGAGTTCTGGTTCATAGAAAGTTCTGATGATGTTAGAATTTAAAACTTACCGCCTGTAAAAAGCTTTGCTCCATTATGAAAACTTAGGGTGTTCATACTCACACAAGGTATTAAATACACATGACAGATTTTGTACGCTGATACCTCATCTTAATAGAGCCTCTCCAAATATTGTAGCTGGAGGTGAAATGGGACGTTTTCATCAATATGGACGTGCGCTCTCCTTACCTGGGTACTGGGGTCTTTGCTTCTCAGTGAAGAGAGCTGAGCGACGGCCATGAAGTATTCCTCCCAACCTATGTACCCTATCCTCTTCTCATTCTTAGCATTTTCACAGCTTGAAACACAAAAGTACAAGAGAGAGATTTGTAGCAAATGTAAATGATGACATCTCGAATGTGTACGGGTCAAGCTGGAACTAAAAGTGCAGGTCCAACTATCAATATGAGTGCATGTTACACTGGCACTATAAGTGCAGTTTACATTGGCACTATAAGTGCAGGTTTCACTGGCTCTGTGAGTGCAGGTTACACTGGCACTATGAGTGCAGGTTACACTGGCTCTATTAGAGCAAGTTACACTGGCTCTTTGAGTGCAGGTTACACTGACACTATGAGTGCAGTTTACACTGGCACTATGAGTGGTGGTTACACTGGCACTATGGGTGCATGTTACACTGGTACTATGGGTGCATGTTACTCTGGCTCTATGATTGTATGTTACACTGGCACTATGAGTGCAGGTTACACTGGTACTATGAGTGCAGGTTACACTGGTTCTGTGAGTGCTGGATACACTGGCACTATGAGTGCATGTTACACTGGTACTTTGGGTGCATGTTACTCTGGCTCTATGAGTGCAGTTTACACTGGCACTATGAGTGTAGGTTACACTGGCACTATGAGTGCAGTTTACACTGGCACTATGAGTGCAGGTTACACTGGTTCTGTGAGTGCTGGTTACTCTGGCACTATGAGTGCAGGTTACACTGGTACTATGAGTGCAGGTTACACTGGCACTATGAGTGCAGGTTACATTTGCACTATGAGTGCAGTTTACACTGGCACTATGAGTGCAGGTTACATTGGCACTATGAGTGCAGGTTACACTGGCACTATGAGTGCAGGTTACACTTACTCTGTGAGTACTGGTTACACTGGCACTATGAGAGCATGTTACACTGGTACTGTGATTGCTGGTTACACTGGCACTATGATTGCAGGTTACACTGGCACTATGAGTGCAGGTTACACTGGCTCTATGATTGTATGTTACACTGGCATTATGAGTGCAGGTTACACTGGCTCTATGAGTGCAGGTTGCTCTGGCACTATGAGTGCATGTTCCACTGGCTCTATGAGTGCATGTTACACTGGCTCTATGAGTGCATGTTACACTGGCACTATGAGTGCAGGTTACACTGGCACTATGAGTGCACTTTACACTGGCACTATGAGTGCAGGTTACATTGGCACTATGAGTGCAGGTTACACTGGCACTATGAGTGCAGGTTACGCTTACTCTGTGAGTACTGGTTACACTGGCACTATGAGAGCATGTTACACTGGTACTGTGATTGCTGGTTACACTGGCACTATGATTGCAGGTTACACTGGCACTATGAGTGCAGGTTACACTGGCTCTATGATTGTATGTTACACTGGCATTATGAGTGCAGGTTACACTGGCTCTATGAGTGCAGGTTACACTGGCTCTATGATTGTATGTTACACTGGCATTATGAGTGCAGGTTGCTCTGGCACTATGAGTGCATGTTCTACTGGCTCTATGAGAGCATGTTACACTGGCTCTGTGAGTGCAGGTTACACTGGCACTATGAGTGCAGGTTACACTGGCTCTGTGAGTGCTGGTTACACTGGCACTATGAGTGCAGGTTACACTTGCACTATGAGTGCAGCTTACACTGGCTCTGTGAGTGCTGGTTACACTGGCACTATGAGTGCAGGTTACACTGGCACTATGAGTGCAGGTTACACTGGCACTATGAGAGCAGGTTACACTGATTCTGTGAGTGCATGTTACACTGGCACTATGAGTGCAGGTTACACTGGCACTATGAGTGCAGGTTACACTGGCACTATGAGTGCAGGTTACATTGGCACTATGAGTGCAGGTTACACTGGCACTATGAGTGCAGGTTACACTGGCTCTGTGAGTGCTGGTTACACTTGCAGTATGAGAGCATGTTACACTGGTACTGTGAGTGCAGGTTACACTGGCACTATGAGTGCAGGTTACACTGGCTCTATGAGTGCAGTTTACACTGGCTCTGTGAGTGCTGGTTACACTGGCATTATGAGTGCAGGTTACACTGGCACTATGAGTGCAGGTTACACTGGCACTATGAGTGCAGGTTACACTGGCTCTGTGAGTGCTGGTTACACTGGCACTATGAGTGCAGGTAACACTGACTCTGTGAGTGCATGCTACACTGGCACTATGAGTGCAGGTTACACTGGCACTATGAGTGCAGGTTACACTGGCACTATGAGTGCAGGTTACATTGGCACTATGAGTGCAGGTTACACTGGCACTATGAGTGCAGGTTACACTGGCTCTGTGAGTGCTGGTTACACTTGCAGTATGAGAGCATGTTACACTGGTACTGTGAGTGCAGGTTACACTGGCACTATGAGTGCAGGTTACACTGGCTCTATGAGTGCAGGTTACACTGGTACTATGAGTGCAGGTTACACTGGCACTATGAGAGCTGGTTACACTGGTACTATGAGTGCAGGTTACACTGGCACTATGAGTGCAGGTTACACTGGCACTATGAGTGCAGGTTACATTGGCACTATGAGTGCAGGTTACACTGACTCTGTGAGTGCATGTTACACTTGCACTATGAGTGCAGGTTGAACTGGCACTATGAGTGCAGGTTACACTGGCTCTGTGAGTGCAAGTTACACTGGCACTATGAGTGCAGGTTACGCTGGCACTATGAGTGCAGTTTACATTGGCACTTTGAGTACAGGTTACACTGGCACTATGAGTGCAGTTTACACTGGCACTATGAGTGCTGGTTACACTGGCACTATTACTGCAGGTTACACTGGCTCTGTGAGTGCTGGTTACACTGGCACTATGAGTGCAGGTTACACTGGCACTATGAGTGCAGGTTACACTGGCTCTGTGAGTGCTGGTTACACTGGCACTATGAGTGCAGGTTATACTGGCACTATGAGTGCAGTTTACACTGGCACCATGAGTGCAGGTTACATTGGCACTATGAGTGCTGGTTACACTGGCACCATGAGTGCAGGTTACACTGGCTCTGTGAGTGCTGGTTACACTGGCACTATGAGAGCATGTTACACTGGTACTGTGAGTGCAGGTTACACTGGCACTATGAGTGCAGGTTACACTGTTACTATGAGTGCAGGTTACACTGGCACTATGAGTGGAGGTTACACTGGTAGTATGAGTGCAGTTAACATTGGTGGGTATACATGATGTAATGGTGGATATACATGACGTAAATTCTGAACTTAATGCCTTCAGATAACTGTTCGCGTTGATACTCGGAAGGTCAGCTATTTCCACTGTTGAACGAGGTGACATATCAGTTTGCGAGCTTGGGTTGTAGTTTCTATTACCTTGGATTTTTTTGTTCCATATAAGGAGGCAATTCTCGGAACACATCAGGACTTAGTCAAGTTTGTGGCGGTAGGACTAATTATTAAGTAATGGTTATGGAAACGTCACTGTTTCACCAGTTAAGCTTAGACATTTAAAGTTGGAAGTACTAACAACTTGTACTGACATTGTCTGAGATTTCTGTGTCAAATTTAATTTAGTCCGACCACATCAACAGGCAACATGGGTCTCAAATATGAAAACAATACTTTAAACGAATCAGTGGTGCATGATGAATGATCAAACCTGCCTGGGCGGACAGATGCTCACACGTCACTTATTTCAGTTTCATAACTGCATACAATAGCGGACTACCAAGTAGCTGTCAATGCAATACATGGGCAGATGTGTTCAGTTGTGTCAATGCAGTGACGTTTGAGGCGAGCGGTGAAGCCATTTGTGTACTAAACATCCTGTTGCCAAGATAACATGCACGTTACTAATGATATGTCCAATACACCCTACCAACATATATATTGTTACTTCATATTCACACTTGTTATGGTTTAATATATATTTTAGTATAGTTTAAGGACATTAATGTTATTTGACTTAAACGACATCAAGAGGATAGTCACCAATGTTTAGCGTCTTCATCATTCAATGTGTATAGATATGGACACATATTAACGAAAGGGTGGCTTTGCTCACACTGTACATGCAACAAGTGCTATCATATAAAAGTGTCTCTCTAGTGTAGTTCCTAGTCTGGCTGATGTCTGTTATCAGCCTTGCTCTGACAGACCAGATTCTCCTGCTATTCTGATAATGCTTGTCCGTAATATGCACCAATATACACCATTATTGCCACCTCTGTAGGCGATTCTAGGAATATTTCATGGTAAAGGTATGATTGAGATAAACATACTTTGCGATTTCGGTGTCAAATGCAGTTTTGTCCCATCAAATAAACAAAGGTCTACAATGAGAGCACTGTACACGATCCGCCATTTTCAATTTCATTGGCGGCATATCATTGCTACTATCAACTAGCTATCAATGAAATAAATTGGTAACATACTTTCCGTAACAACTCAACTTGTTCAAACATCCTGGTAATACTGCATCAACGTTAAATGTTCAGTTGCAATTACCCATTCAATCATCATTGTTACATTTATTAACATTGCAGGTTGCCATGGAACTTTAGAATTCCCTGAATGTGAATTGCTGAACTTTTATGAAAGTTCACAGAATGTCTAATTTAAGGACATCTTGTGATTCCGCTGTAGTCAGAAGAGCAATAAATGACCTTTTATACAAAAATGTACCTCAAACACCAATGGTATAAACACCACTCTTATGTAACATATGTACTATTATGGCAATCGACGTTTACCTGGTCTTTTCTTTTGGGTTTTGTGAAGCCATGGTAGTACTTCTTGTTCAGTAGGTGTGCAGACCTGGCGTATGATCACCAACCCAGACTGCAGCTGTTATATATATACCTTACATTCTCGTATTGATTAGTCAGGTTGTGTCAAGACAAGTCCTGACATGATTGTACAGTAAAGATACGAACTGTATTCTAATGGGTTGTTTTGTAATTTTACATACAAAAATACAAATTGACATCGGACAAGCATTCATTCAGATTCTCAAGATCACCACACATGGCGACAATGGACACTGCACACAGTATCACTGGATGAACACACTAAAGAATGTGCCACCAGTTGGTTCCCAATAAGTCCAAACTAGCAGATAAACATCAGCCCAATTTCTGCGAGGTAGTATATTTTTTTAAAGAAGTAAGAAAATCTATATTACAAACACACCTTATCCGCCTCGGAATGGTTCATTGGGATGGTCCAGTTCAATAAATGTTCATGTTTGGAGATGAAATCGAGGGATGTTCTTAGTATAGAACTCAATTCACGTTGTCCTCTTTCTTGTCTGTTTAGTGTGTCTGGTTTTATTGATACTGCACACTGGTTAACACTGTTTCAATGAAGCTTTTCCTAGTATACCTTAAATATAGTAGATGAGCGAAACGTAAATAACATATATCAATATACCGATTATTCCTATCCTGATGACAGCACTACATTCATACAATGCATATTTCGTTCTGAATCTTCCCCTTTACTGCTAGGAACGGAGAGGTTCATCGAAATTGAAAACAATTCTCGGAGATGTACTCTTGAAGTTCCTGTTTTTAGACCCAGGGAATGTGGCAGTTTGAGCCGAGCCTAGGTTATGTTGACCCAAGTATTGCAGTTACGAGCAGATCACAGCTGAGCACTGATCCAATCGTGTAATTTTCATCCCTGTTGTGAGTTTTATGATCGAGAATAGTTTGCCAGTTTGATGTCTGCATTTCCAATTTCCAAATCATATAATGTCATGTAAACAACCTGTGCCAAGTTAGAGTTAATACCGGAACGCCCCCGGGGATATATTTTTCCCACGTTGCTACTCCCATCCTAGAACAAGGTTTCGGGTTACATGTCACCCTGCAAGTGTCAGTTGGGTAGATTGCGAGCACGGGTTGTATTTACCTTACCGTTAACGTTTGAAGTGCTAGTAGACGTTTGAACATTGTGTAAACAATGGCACAGTTTTTATACGTGTTCTATCTTAAATAATATGTAAATGAAATTATATAAGCTTCAACTACGTGTGTGCCGTCACGAACTGCATGGGACGGTGGTAAAGTGACATAACTTTATGTATTAGTCTCATGTCAACGGGGATGGATATTCATCTCTTGGTGTTGTAATTAGTCAGATTATTAACTTTGTGTGTGTCCGTTCATAATACGATAATATATATATACCCTGCACTACACACGCGGCAGATTTCTGCAAGTGGTTAAAGTTTATCTGCGGTAACCGTATGCTGTGTTGCTCCCTGTGAATATGAAAAGTTTAGCTTAATCCACTCAAATTAATGACCTAACGTGACCTAGTTGTAGTTTACTTTTGCTTACAGTTCTTGGAAAGGGTGGATCGATATTTGCTGATCGCCTGAACAATAGACAGACATGGTACGGTGGTCGCAAGCAAAGCACACACAACACGTTACCGTGTGTCCTTTTGAAGTGGAAGAAACGAGTCATCCTTAAAATGTCTTAGTCACAAACATGTAGTGTTCTCGCCACGTAACCGGTTGTTATAGACATTGGCAAGAAAATATTTCATCTCCGTTCTGTAGAAATATATCAGCATCTCATTATAAATGTTCTTGTTTTGTTCCATTCTGATTGTCTTTGTTGTTATTTATATCTGCTGAATGTTTTCTTTGTTGGTTATTTGAAAAGAAGATATTGCTGATTTTTAAGTGACTGACATCTCAAACATTTTGTACACATTTTACTAAAATCATTTATTTATGAAATAAACATGACCACTTAGGTAGAGGACTATCTGCTGATCATGAATTATCATTGTCCTGATATATAACAGGGAAGACTTAAAATGAAATCGATGTGGACAGATACTTAGTATTTAACAGTCGCGCATTACTTATTCACGAAGTGATTGTGCTTTTGTAATGGCAATGTCCATCAGTAAACATACGTTATTGACGCATTGTACTGAGAAGGAAATGTATGATATAAAATCACATGGAGTTTGACGTTGTAAAGTCTCAGTGAAGGTTTCAAAAGGTTTAATAAATAAAAGTGACAAAACACTTTCCATATTCCATTGTACGATTTCGACTATATCAATACGTTTATGAATCACTACTTCTTGCCTAAACGTCTACCCCCAAATTCTATAAAGCTGTTATCAATAATGAATCCAGCATTTCACACAGTGTATTCCTAGTAAACTTCAGATGGCATTTGATTTCATTTTGGATAAATTTACCTTAACCTCTGAAGATAGATATGTGACGATATCTATGGTTACTACGTTTTGTAACAAAAGCCCCATGGATCAAGGAATGAAGTTTTTCCTAAGGTTTGTCGATCATGGACAAAACTGTAAAATACCTAAGATCAGACTTTCTTTGTCCTTTCAGCATTGTATCATACATTGAGAATAAATATCAACATTGTCTCGAATGTCCATTTCAACATGTACGACTTCCTACCATTGTACACCTATATAGCTACAACCTACGAGAAGCTAATAATGATGTACAGCAATAGTTTATCTCTAATTGTGTCAGCTATGTGTGTATATCTTGCTTTAAATTGAAAACGTGAACGCCAGAGAATAATCAGCCTCGAACATCTGCTGAAACTCCATCAGGCGCAAAAGACACATGGATCACTTAAAGTGGTGACATGTGTATTTTTTTGTTAACAATTATTAAACAGCTTGTGAATATCACCCCAGATGCCCTGCCAAGGCCTTTCTTGGAAGCTTGACCACTGTCGCTGCTGGGTGCATGTATATTATTTTTACTATCAAAACTGTATTTTTGTATTTGATACTGACCTCTGTCATGATGTTATACACTGCCATTGAATATGGTACTACCACTCTATTGTGTACTGCCATTGAATATGGTACTACCACTCTATTGTGTACTGCCATTGAATATGGTACTACCACTCTATTGTGTACTGCCATTGAAATTGCTGTTCAGTAATTTGTGTTGATTTGTAAACTTAGTGAATATTGCAATACATTTGTTGATTGTGTATTCCATTTTGTTGGTTGGTTGTTGGTTTCACACTAAGCTCTTTTACGTGCTTATTTCTGGGTTAAGGTACTGTTTCAATTAGGGAATCGACCACTCACCAAATGATAATAACCTCACATTTGAAAAATACAATTGTACAAGTTATCAACGTTTCAACTGTATCATGGTGGACGTCACCTAGGAACAATCTCTAAACCTGACATCCTCCTTTTCACCCTTCACAGCACATTCACAGCAGACTAGTGAGATTACATTACGTGAAAGTAAGATTACTTTCGAGTGAGATCAAACTGCATTTACCAAAATCACAGGTGGTTTAACATTTATAAAACATAAATCACAATTCAGACAATCGGAATGAAACAAAGACTCATGTTTCATCTACTGATGCTTAAAGGGACTTGCATGTACAACAATGTGGATGTATTTCTACTGAACTGAGAGATTCCAATGTGAATTTATCCCATTTAAAATGAATAAGATGAATGTTCATGTCATGTAAACGAAAATCTTTTCTGAATCACATATTCAAGACCAACATGTTGTTTACGACCGCAGGACATGTTTACCTATTGTTGAAGCGATCAGCAGATGTAGCTCAACCCCTTCCAAGAACTGTACAAGGAAACAGAAACTAGGTCACGTAAGGACATGTTTATCAACCTATGAGGCGATCAGCAGAAAGAGCTCTACCCTTTCCAAGAACTGTAAACAAAGGCAACAAAAGCTAGGTCACGCTAGGTCATATATCAAGGGAAGCTTGTCAACTTGCATGAATCTGCCACTCGGTGGGTGCAGGGTATATGCACTACGCCAGTTGACTTGTCATATATCATTGACGAACGGACGAGCACTCGAGCGAACACTCACAGGGTTAATAATCTGATTAAATACTACACCTCGAGATGAATACTCCTGTTGACATGGGGGCGATCGGGTAGCCAAGTGGTTAAAGCTTGCTCGTCACGCCGAAGACCCGGTTTAAATTCCCCAATGTGTGAAGCCCATTTCTTGTGTTCCCCGCCGTGATATTGCTTAAATATTGCTAAAAGCGGCGTAAAACCATACTCACTCACTCACTCCTGTTGACATGACATTAATACATAAAGTTACTTCCTAACACGAGCATGCTACATTCAAAGGAGGCTGGACATGTAGATCTGGATGGTGCTCTTGGTTTTGCTCACTGGACGTTTGGGTTACTAGTATCTTTGGTCAAAGTTATCCCGAATGAGTGAGTTGGGATCAAACCTGCTTTTAACAGTATTTCAGTTGCAGCACAGCATGCCAGCTTTGTGTGGGTTGAAAGCCCGAAATAAACACGTGTCAGACGTTTACAACTTTGATAAAACCCACGAGGACGAATATTTGGCTGACAATACATAGATCATCATCACCTTGGATTCGAACCTACGTTCACAGGATCCTGACACGCCTAAGGGCCGCAAACCACTGCATGGAATAGTCACCTCAATCATATATAGGCTTGGAATAAACATTTAGTTAGTATTATATTAGCCATCGCAAATTTAAGAGACGTTAGCATAATATCGTCTTTTGAACTCATAATTTGCAAGATTTGTTGAAGAGAATTAACAAGAGTTACCTTGAAGAATATATATAATTTGTATTGAACTCTTATTGTCATTTTTGCGAGAGATGGAAAAATTACTTACTCGTGCTTTTCCCATTCACATTAAATATATTTACCAGACCCGATGAGACATGTGCACGTGCATCATTCAAGATAATCTCATGTGTTCTATGTTTTTGAATGATTTTCCGAATTTTCTATCATATTTTTCTGAAAATATAATAAATACAGATTTTTCTCATTACAAACACATATGCCAAGCATATCGCTTACTAAAATATTTTTTGGACCAAAACACAAACATTAACTCAAAATATGAAAATGTTTTAGTTTATCACTTGCTGAAGTAAATCTCGTAATATGACCTACTTCAGCAGAACCTTGAAATATCACTCCCCGGAGTCTGCATATTGTGCATACTGTTGGCTACAATCATTTAGAACGTTAAGGACAATACCACACTGGCTGTAATATCCCAGTCTGTGGCATCAGAAATAACATCCACTCACTCAAAGACATTCACAGTAATAGACCACAAGTCTTACAGAAAGTGGGAAGACTTTTATTGGAGAATATTAGTGATAACGTACAAGAGAGAGAACATTGAGTCATATATTGTGAAGCAACTAGCATGGGTGCCACCAGGATACGCTCACAGTGGATTCTTCTTTCAGCAAAGACTTCTTACGAATATATAACTGTTTTCGTTGCATTTATTGACAACGAATATAGAGGATATTCCATGTGTTCAGTGAAATACCATGTTTCTCTCATCGAGTGACATGACATTTCACTCGACACATGGATTATCCTATTTATTATATATTGTTTGTGTAGCTGTCTACCAGAAAATTAAATTATTTCATTACAAATGTAAAACCTTGAAACGTAAGGTCTCCCTACCTCACACACAGGGACGGTTCACTGCCCCTTGTATTTGCGACTTGCAAAGTGTTTCCCAAATCTTAAAGAATATAAACAAAAGTATCAAAAATATTTAGGGTCAATACATTTAGATATGATTATGAACTAAATCAACTTTAAAAAAAAATGTTCTTGAAAACTAGGAGACAGCTGTTGGAAGGGAAAGAAACACGCTGGCCAAGTAACAAAAGTGGTGCATTGCGAAACGAACGATTGACGAGTTAAATGATAAATTTACAGTTTATAAGGAAACATTTTCGAGAGGATAACAATCGGCAAAAAATGATATTAATTCCATAAACGACCATCTGACATTGCCTTGTCAATGTGGACCTAACGTAAAAAGAACGTCAACAGTTTGTGTACGTGCTAGTCACTTACGACAAAGGGAGATAATTTAAGGGGAGGTAACACTTGTATGACAACAGTTCCGTCAAAGTGTTCCGTAGAAGTTAAAGTATTGGCTAAATGTAACTATACAGATACTCAAAGGTCATTATAATCAAATACGTTGCAAAATAGAATATTGGAAGAAATACGATAATTATTTTTATACCTAAATACTGCAATAAAGGAGCCTTGTATTTTCAGTTTTGAATTGCAGATGACGGGCAAAAATCTGCAAATGAATACAAAGATTTCCTGGAGCCTTTCTTCCGGTCTTAGGCGGCGTCTTCAATGGACTGGAAATCCACCATAACCTGCTTCTTCTTTCCATTATATTCTCTGAAACAAGCACAGTTATTGTAAGTGAAACTCATTTAATGTGTGTTTAATCCAAACACACTTACTATATAATTCAAGTGTTAGTGGTATTTCTTTATAGAAACAAATACAACTATCTACATTTGTCATGTCACGTGACATTAAGGACTTGAAACCCAAATATGTAAACAAGACCATGTAATCCTTCTATACTTTTTATTTAACATAACCTGACATTCCGTTAAATATGTGCTTCGAATGTTTCATAGTTATGATATATGGAATACATGTACTGGTGACTTACAAATATCTGCCGTCGATAGAATTCGAGAGTGACATTTTCAGTCACGCGGCAGAGGTAGGGGATTTATCTCATTGATAAGTATACACTAGAATTCTTCACAGTCTAATCACTTTTTGTACAAGCTATTGAATAAAAACTGACTACAATTCTAGAAACAGTATTCAGAGCTTATAGGTGTAAGTGAGGAATTCTGGTTGAAATCGTAACAAACCTTATTTGAACACCAGCCTCCTCAAACAGGATCTTCGCGGCTTTTACTTCTTCCTTGTCATGTTTCTTGTCCGAGTAGTAGACCACTGTCTTGATGCCAGACTGGATGATGATCTTGGCGCACTCGTTACATGGAAACAAGCCCACGTACATAGTGCAGCCTTCCAAGTCTGCTGTGAACTTGTTTATCACAGCATTCATCTCTGCATGGCAGACTGCAAGAAAATTAAGGGACATACACCAAGGGTATATATACACTGATGATTGCATATCAACTACAGGCAAACCTGATTAATTAAAACACAGAACAAACATCCATCCCCACCCGCCCAAATATGCAAATGTACTTCAGCCTAAATTTCTTAAGTGATTTATTAACTGTTTGTTCTCTGGCGCTGAGATTTTGGATTTAACTGACTGAAAGCTCCATGTATTTAAACATGTCAAGAAAAGGAGACCAATTTCGAGCCAGATTTCAGTATGAGTGTGTGTGTGTGTGTGTGTCTGTGTCTGCCTGTGTCTGTTTCTGTGTGTGTGTCTGTGTGTCTGTGTCTGTGTGTCTGTGTATGTGCGTGTGTCTGTGTGTGTGCGTGTGCGTGTGCATGTGTGTGTATGTAATTCTGTAATGTTGACATGTAGCAATTTTCATTATTATAACTTACCGTAATAACGTTTAGTTCCCAGTTGGCTGGCAGGGTCTTTTTTAGGGGAGCAATGTATCGCTACAGTTGTTAGGCATCCCGTTGTAACTGGTTCCCACGATCCTTTTCTTAGGATTGACAATACATGCTCCGACCTACTCGCCCACAATTAATACATTAGTTGTGTTAAAGAGAGAATCTCACCCGAGTGTCTTTTGATATCAAATATATCAACACTAGTTGATAAAAGATGAAAAAAAGTTTATCCACTTTTATCAACGAGTGTTGATATATTTGATATCGAAAGGCACGAAGGTGAGATTTTATTTATCATCCAACATCATTCTTCCAACTTTTTAAGTTTGTAGACAGTAACAAACAGTGTCATAAAAAGTACTGCTAACAGCTTCAGTAGCAGAGCCATTAATGATGTCTTTTTATTGTGACGTCATGGTGACCAGTAACGTTACAATGGCCTGCAAAGTATTGTGATGCAATTTCTTTGCAGCGAACGCTTGACCTCACCCAAGCGATATCATCTGAGGGGGCCAGTTTTGTTGATAGGTATGTTATTACACAACAGTGTCCTTTTAACTGTCAGGGGTACTGCAGGGTAGGGTACATGTCACAAGATGGACTCGTTACAGTGGCTAGACTGTGTGTAATTGCTACCCGACGGCGAGGGCAATTGATAATACTGTTTATTTCTGTTGACATTATGCTTAAAGTTCATCGCAAAAAATGTCGTATTACTGCAGTGCAAACAACTTCTTTAAGACCCATCGCTTCTTTTCACTAAAGGCACGTGACATATATGAATCCCAATTTTACCTGCGTGACGGGGTCTTTGCTTCTCATTCCAGACAGAAATGCAGTGGCCATGAAGTACTCCTCCCAGTCCAGTTGGCTCTCTCTCTTGCCACTTTCACCAAACTGTCTGTTGTATGTAAAACAACAAAAACCTAACAAAGTATCTACCTTTACTGGCATTTCATCTACGTACTGCACTTGTGTACAGTTGTATTACAGAATGGACTAGAGGATTACTAATAGGTAGTGCTTTGGGTATACATCATGTAATGGTGTGTATAGGAAACGTAATTTTTACTGACTCGCAAAATTTCCGTAAAGTTTCTGAGGAGACATTCAAAGTACACATGGCGATGTGTTACACAAGGACACGTGAGTTAGTATAAAGCCATATCATGCACATGCAATTGGTTCCGCCTCTTCCGACAGGTCAGTTGGTAGCTCGGCTTGAAGCAAAAACGTTTGAGCTAATTTAGTATTTAATGCCTCTTTCAGCAGAACTATAATAGTCCCAAGAGTTTCGTTTGTTTGTGAATTGGTGTGTACACGAGACCTGCTTGTAGTTTCTACAGTGCAAAAATATAATGTATGATCGAACTTCCATAGCAATGTATGGAATATGCTTGTGAGAGATTCTAATTTGGCTGTTTTCATTTAATGTGTGTGTGTGTGTGTGTGTGTGTGTGTGTGTGTGTTTGTGTGTGTGTGTGTGTGTGTGTGTGTGTGTGTGTGTGTGTGTGTGTGTGTGTGTGTGTGTGTGTGTGTGTGTGTGCACTAGCCCGCTGCCACACATTATACTGTCTCCGAACCGACAAGTCCTTGTTTTATCCCCTTTATGCCGAAAGCCAGGCAGGGTAACAGCAAGTAACACCTTTTGGTATTGCGCGACTTGGGATCGAACCAACGGCATTCCTCTCTCCCGACAGACGCTATATCCACTAGACCACGAAGGCAGAGCTGTTTTGCCGTGAAGACTACAAGTATTAATATCAATAATATTGTATACAGAAAACCCTGCCCAATAACGGGTTCTTAATTTAGCATTAACTATAGCCGATACACACCCTCCCCCATTCAGTGTTCTAATATTGTGCATGAGAAAATATTTTATCTAATACAAAACTTCTCGATGCATATACTGCATATGCACTATCGCGTTTTAACGATTAAAACAACCGTAAATAAATCATTCATTGAAATTCTGAACTTAATGCCTTCAGATAGCAGGGTCGCGTTAATACTCGCAGCGTTAGCTATTTCCACTGTAGAACAAGGTGACATATCAGTTTGCGAGCGTGGGTTGTAGTTTCTATTACTTTGGATTTTTTTGTTTAATATTAGGAGGCAATTTTCGGAACACATCAGGACTTAGTCAAGTTTGTGGCGTTAGGACTAATTATTAAGTTATGGTTATGGAAATGTCACTGTATCACCAGTTAAGCTTAGACATTTAAAGTTGGAAGTACTAACAACTTGTACTGACATTGTCTGAGATTTCGGTGTCAAATTTAATTTAGTCCCACCACATCAACAGGCAACAAGGGTCTCAAATATGAAAACTATACTTTAAACGAATCAGTGGTGCATGATGAATGATCAAACCTGCCTGGGCGGACAGATGCTCACACACGTGACTAATTTCAGTTTCATAACTGCATATAGTGGATGACTACCAAGTAGCTGTCAATGCAATACATGGGCAGATGTGTTCAGTTGTGTCAATGCAGTGACGTTTGAGGCGAGCGGTGAAGCCATTTGTGTACTAAACATCCTGTTGCCAAGATAATATGCACGTTACCAATGATATGTCCAATACACCCTACCAACATATTTATTGTTACTTCATATTCATAATCATTATGGTTTAATCTATATTTTAGTATAGTTTAAGAACATGAATGTTATTTGACCTAAACGACATCAAGAGGATAGTCACCGATGTTTAGAGTCTTCATCATACAATGTGCATAGATATGGACATATATTAACGAAGGGTGGCTTTGCTCACACTGTACATGCAACAAGAACGATCATATAAAAGTGTCTCTCTGGTGCAGTTCCTAGTCTGGCTGATGTCTGTTATCAGCCTTGCTCTCACAGGCCAGATTCCCCTGCCTTCTGATAATTCTTGTCCGTAATATGCACCAATATACACCATTATTCCCACCTCTGTAGGCAATTCTAGGAATTCTTATGGTCAAGGTATAATTGAGATGAACATACTGTGCGATTTCGGTGTCAGATGCAGTTTTGTCCCATCAAATAAACATAGGTCTACAATGAGAGCACTGTACACGATCCGCCATTTTCAATTTCAGTGGCGGCATATCATTGCTACTATCAAGTAGCAATCAATGCAATAAATTGGCAACATACTTTCCGTAACAACTCAACTTGTTCAAACATCCTGGCAATACTGCATCAACGTTAAATGTTCAGTTGCAATTACCCATTCAATCACCATTGTTGCATTCATCAACATTGCAGGTTGCCATGGAACTTTAGAATTCCCTGAATGTGAATTGCTGAACTTTTATGAAAGTTCACAAAATGTCTTATTTTAGGACATCTCGTGATCCCGCTGTAAACAGAAGAGCAATAAATGACCTTTTATACCAAAATGTATCTCAAACACCAATGGTTTAAACACCACTCTTATGTAACACATGTGTTTTTATGGCAATCGACGTTTACCTGGTGTTTTCTGGTGGGTTTTGTGAAGCCATGGTAGTACTACTTGTTCAGTAGGTGTGCAGACCTGGCGTATGATCACCAACCCAGACTGTAGCTGTTATATAAATACCTTACATTCTCGTCTTGATTAGTCAGGTTGTGTCAAGACAAGTCCTGACATGATAGTACAGTTTAGATACGAACTGTGTCAGAATGGGTTGTTTTGTAATTTTACATACAAAAATACAAATTGACTTCGGACAAGCATTGATTCAGATTCTCAAGATCCCCACACATGGCGACAATGGACACAGTATCACTGGATGAACACACTGTAGTAAAGAATGTGCCACCAGTTGGTCCCCAACAAGTCCAAACTAGCAGATAGACATCAGCCCATTTTCTGCAAGGTATTATATTTTTCTTAAAGAAGTAAAGGAATCTTTGTAACAAACACACCTTATCCGCCTCGTAATAGTACATTGGGATGATCCAGTTCAATAAATGTTCATGTTTGGAGATGAAATCGAGGGATGTTCTTAGAATAGAACTCAATTCACGTCCTCCTTCTTGTCTGTTTAGTGTTTCTGGTTTTATTGATATGGCACACTGGTTGACACTGTTGCAATGATGTTTTACCCAGTACACCTTAAATGTAGTAGATGAGCGATGTGATACACATATAAAAGTAAAATACCTAGTTCATAGCTATTTTCATACATATATCAATACATCGATTATTCCTTTCCTGATGACAGCATTACATTCATACAATGCTTATTTTGTTCTGAATCTTCCCCTTTACTGCTAGGAACAGAGAAGTTCAGGGAAATTGAAAACAATTCTCAGAGATGTACTCTTGAAGTTCCTGTTTTCCCCCTCGATTTGAAGTTCAAGAAGTTCTGTCAGAAAATAAATCAATGTTAAAAGTTAGACCCAGGGAATGTGGCAGTTTGTGCCGAGCCTAGGTTATGTTGACCTAAGTATTGCAGTTACGAGCAGATCACTGCTGAGCACTGATCCAATCATTAATTTTCGTCCCTGTTGTGTGTCACGCGAGTGTCAATAGCGGAACGTCCCCGGGGATATATTTCTCCCACATTGCTACTCCCATCCTAGAACAAGGTTTCGGATTACATGTCACCCTGCAAGTGTCAGCTGGGTAGATTGCGAACATGGGTTGTACTTACGTTACCAGTTTGAAGTGGTAGTAGACGTTTGAACATTGTGTAAGCAATGGCACAGTTTGTATACAGGTTCTATCTTAAATAATATGTAAATGAAATGACATAAGGTTCCAGGTTACTTTTGCTTACAGCTCTTGGAAAGGGTGGAGCTATATTTGCTGATCGCCTCAACAATAGACAGGCATGGGACTGTGGTCGCAAGCAAAGTACACACAACACGTTTGTGTGTCTTATTTGAAATAGAAGTAACGAGTCTTCCTTAAAACGTCTAAGTTACAAACAGATGGTGTTCTCGCCACGTACCCGGATGTTACAGACATTGGCAAGAAAATATTTCATTTCAGTTCTGTAGAAATATATCAGCATCTCATTATATATGTTCTTGTTTTGTTCCATTCCGATTGTCTCTTTTGTTATTTTATATCTGCCAAATGTTTTCTTTGTTGGTTATTTGAAAAGTAGATATTGCTGATTTTTAAGTGACTGACATCTCAAACATTATGTACACATTTTACTGAATCATTTTAAAGGAAATGACCCCACAGGTAGTGGACTATCTGCTGATCATGAACTATTTTTGTCCTGATATATAACAAGGAAGACTTAAAATGAAATCGTTGTGGCCAGGTACTTAGTATTTAACAGTAGCGCGTTATTCACGAAGTGTTTGTGGTTTTGTGATGGCAATGTCCATCAGTAAACATACGTTATTGACGCATTGTACTGAGAAGGAAAAGTATTATATAAAATCACAAGGCGTTTGACGTTGTAAAGTCTCAGTAAAGGTTTCAAAAGTTTTATATCATAGATAAAAGCGACAGAACTATTTCCATATTCCATTGTACGATTTCGACTATATCATGAGGATACGTTTATGAATCACTCCTTCTTGCCTAAACGTCTACCCCCAAATTTTATGTAGTTGTTATCAATAGGGAAGTCCAGCATTTCACATAATGTTTTCTCAGTTAAGTTCAGATGGTATTTGCTTTCATTCTGGATAAATTTACCTTAACCTCTGAAGATAGATATGTGTCGATATCTATGGTCATTTCGTTTTGTAACCAAAAAAAACATGGATCAAGGAATGAAATGTTTCCTAAGGTTTGTCGATCATGGACAAAACTGTAAAATACCTAAGATCAAAGACTTTCTTTGTCCTTTCAGCATTGTATCATACATTGAGAATAACTATCAACATTGTCTCGAATGTCCATTTCCACATGTACGACTTCCTACCACTGTACATCTACAACCTACGAGAAGCTAATAATGATGTACAGCAATAGTTTCTCTCTAATTGTGTCAGCTATGTGTGTATATCTTGCTTTAAATTGAAAACGTGAACGCCAGAGAGTAATCAGCCTCGAACATCTGCTGAAACTCCATTGGGCGCAAAAGACACATGTATCACTTAAAGTGATGACACCAGAGTTCGGGGGCGAACATGTCCTGCTCGAAACGAAATACCTTTTGAATAGATGTGGCACAATTTGACGTCTCACCACACACGTAGAGTAACAGCAAGTGTGTTGTCACACAATGCAAAACATGATATTCTACCATGCTGTTAAGCATAATAGGTTGTAGTGATACATACCTATTATGCGCTGAACCTGTCTTTTGTTTCTTTGGTGGCGAAGTTTCATCATTCCTGAAACCAATAAGTTCAAAATTAGTTTGTACAGTGTTTTATTCACTGATGTTCAACCACTACTAAATACTCAGGAATAACGTGTCATCAATAATCCAATTGTTCTTACATAATACTTTGCAGGTTTGTCCTACCAGCTAAATTATAATTACGCCTGCTGTATAATAGCAACATTTATACCAACAGTTTAAATACAGCATCAACAATGGGGGTACATACCACAATACGGCATCTCAAATTGAGTCGTAATAACAGTAATCACCAGCTAAATCCATCGTCTTTGATAATGCATAGAAAACAATTTTATAATAATCTTATAATCTCATGTGTATTTTATTGTTAACAATTATTAAACAGCTTGTGAATATTACCCCAGATGCCCTGCCAAGGCCTTTCTTGGAAGCTTGACCACTGTCGCTGCCGGGTACATATATATTAATTTTTTTTATTATACTGTATTTTTGTATTCGATACTGACCACTGTCATGAGGAGATATAGCCATTAAATATGGTACGGCCACTCTATTGTGTACTGCCATTGAATATGGTACTACCACTCTATTGTGTACTGCCATTGAATATGGTACTACGACTCTATTGTGTACTGCCATTGAATATGGTACCACCACTGTATTGTGTACTGCAATTGAAATTGCTGTTCAGCAATTATTGTTGATTTGTAAACATAGTGAATTGTGCAATACATTTGTTGATTGTAGTCCATTTGTTGGTTGGTTGTTGGTTTCACACTAAGATCTTTGACGTGCTTATTTCTGGGTTAAGGTACTGTTTCAATTAGGGAATCGACACGTAACACTCACCAAATGATAATAACCTCACATTTGAAAAATACAATTGTACAAGTCATCGTCATATAGAACGTAAATAAAAACGACACAATAATGAGAAGTCTCTGCTGAAAGCAAAGTACGTTGCACCATTCCAACTATATCATGAGCATGTGTTTCTGAATACCTATCAAATAGTGATGATACTGCTTTCCCAGGAATGACATGTGTATCAATTAGTTCATCTGTGGGATTATACCAATGGAATAATGAAACTTAATATTGTCACGTCATGTCCATTTCCTGTGCTTGGGACTGTAAATGTATTTGCTGGATATGCTGAATGCGGCGCTAAACATCAAGAAGACAGAACTAGTAGAATAGTATGTACAGTACAGGAGAGCATACCTGTGGCAGATGGGCAGTGCATTTCTTGTATATTTAACCCGTCCTAACTCTTCGTCCTTATATTGGTTGAAGATATAGGCATTTTAAACATGATTGGTATTACTATATTATGCTGCCTACTTGTTTCCACGGATAGCGTTTGTTGTTCGTGCAGTCATTGTGTACAATATTAGATACTGACCTCGTTGGTGCCTTAATGTTCTTGAAGATAATACACAATGTCACTACACGTGTTTGTCTTGTACATGCTACATCTCTAGGCTTATCTCTGTATGATTTCCCATTGCATGCATCGATGTAGTGGTGGAATAAGACATCGATATGAAAGAACATGTTCCCTGATGACTACTTTCGATCTTCACTTTTGATGCTATCTTCTCACGTACATGTATGTCATGTTGCGACTTGATGGAAATGTCACCTGGGAAGGGATGCGATGAGATAGTCTTGCTATTTGATCTATAATCTGAATGAGATTTTTGTTACAAAATAAAAAATACTGATACATAAAAGTCAATCTCAACATGTAAAGGTCGTTTTGGAAGTGATCGACGATAAATAAATCATATAAATGTAATTCTACACACTCAGCATGTAACTTGCATGTAACTGTAATAACAAATTCAAAATAATGAAAATGTGAAGTGTATCTGTGTCCTATCTCGCGGTTGTCATTTTGGTTGCTGTTTACCCACACAGATCAAGTCCAATGTCATGGTCTTGTTAAGGCAAGATGTATTTTGCTTTGAAAGTTTGTTTGTTTCTTGTTTAACTCAGCAAAGTTCTATCTATATGACGGCGGTGTGTAAATAATCGAGTCTGGACCAGACAATCCAGTGATTAATATCATGAGCATCGATCCGCGCAATTGGGATCGATGACATGCATTAACCAAGTCAAAGAGCCTGACCACCCAATCCCGTTAGTCGCCTTTTACGACAAGCATAGTCACCTTTTACAGTAACCATGGGTTGCTGAAGACCTATTCAACCCCGGATGTTCACGGGAATGCTGGGAAAGTAAACAAATTGCATGTGCTACAGGAATTAGTTTCAGATAGGAATACTGAGGCCGTACATGATCAGGAAAATCAAATGTACAGTTGTCTTTATTCATCACAACTGAATCACCAATCGCAAGATGCAAATAGGCACAATAACCACAAATAGACACAAGTTACATCTGACTAAAATTGTCATGTTTGTCAAGATTGTATTGTTAGCTTATAACAAGTTCCTTATGCCAACTATCTTCAAAGCAGGACAAAAGAGGTGCAATGAGAAATAACACAACTGCAAATATATTATCCACTGCATGTTTTTTGCTTCGTCGCACATACCTGGTCGTCCAAAGTTGACTCTGTTATTGTGCGTTCCTGGTATATGGTGGCAGTTGATAGGTTGGTAAACGCTTTATCAACAAATATCAAATAGGTGTGTGTGTATCTATGTGGCCGATGTAGTTTGTTTATATATTTGTTATAATTTCACTCCCACTTTAACATATATTTATGATACATAATTAGTGGTAAGTTTAATTCAGTTTTCATCAGCCAGCTGTACTACGTGTATCTGTAATCTGTGTGACCTAATAACTGTCCCACGAGATAGATAGAGCGCATACGTGTGCCTAATGAAGATAGTGAGAGATACAATTGGTGCAGTATCATTACTAGGATACATTGGTCAAACTATGTTGCTCTTTGGTAAACTATGCAATGGAAGTTGTATTTTCTCAAGCAGATGTTTCTAGTCCAGTTTAGATTTGAAGCAACACCAGTTAAAAACAAGTGGGACATGACATCTGTTGGTAGCAAGTTGTCTTGTGGTCTTGTCTCCAAATATGATTTATGTGACCAAGTTAATACATTATGCATTGTGAACAATTGACTTGCCTTTACAAAGTGTTTGTGACGGGTGCCACCGGTGGTGGAATAGGATATCTTTTCGCGAACACCATCCATAATTGTAATTTTCGCCCTCACGAATGAACAGCAATAACTTACCTTCAATACAGAAGTGTGAACTTATATAGCATTGGGAATTGAGTGTTGGTGTGTCAAAATAAATATGACATGACACAGTTATTACGTTAGTTGTTGTGTCATGAGATGTCAGTGTATCTCAAACACCAGAGTGCGGCGTTAAACAACAAACCAACCAACCAACCAACTCAAACACCAATGGTATAAACACCACTCTTACGTAACACATGTGTAATTATGGCAATCGACGTTTACCTGGTGTTTTCAGTTGGGTCTGGTGAAGCCATGGTAGTACTTCTTATTCAGTAGGTGTGCAGACCTGGCGTACGATCACCAACCCAGACTGCAGCTGATATATATATACCTTACATTCTCATCTTGATTAGACAAATTGTGTCAAGACAAGTCCTGACATGATTGTACAGTAAAGATACGAGCTGTATTCGAATGGGTTGTTTTGTAATTTTACTAACAAAAATTCAAATTGACATCGGACAAGCATTCATTCAGATTCTCAAGATCACCACACATGGCGACAATGGACACTGCAAACAGTATCACTGGATGAACACACTGTAGTTAAGAATGTGCCACCTGTTGGTCCCCAACAAGTCCAAACTAGCAGATAAACATCAGCCCATTTTCGGCGAGGTATTATATTTTGTAAAAGAAGTAAAAGCAAATCAAA